GTTATACTTGAACCCAAAGTATATACAGTGTGTTGAAGCGAGTCTGGCGACGGTCGTCTTGAACAATTGATAAAATCTGGCTAGGCAGCTCTACATGTTTGCAAGATTATGAATATAGGATGTCTTGGGTCGGAAAACATCCAGGCGGAGATAAATAACAACATTCAACACTAAGGGTCGCTGATCTTTGTAACGGGGTTGGATTAGGCGTTGCTAGCTGCCCCATCAACGTCGAGGCCGGAGTTTGATTGCAGGGATGAAGATTATGATCACGGAATTTACCGTTATTCCTCATGTTTAGGCGATGCCAGTAGGGTGTCAGTCTTTTCGGGTAATGGTCATTCAAATATTCTGGGAGTTGGTCGTGAGGGTCCAAAGCGCTAGCGTCGAATCTGGAATCCATTCAAACGGCATCACGGGGGAGTCAAATCTCGGCCAGCTGGGTGATTTTCGGGAGGGGGTCAAAATCTAGGGAACCCTTCGTGAGGCCGGACGTCGGGGGGTCTAGCTTCATATCATAGAACCTGCCGTTTACCGACAGGCGCCCGCGCTACGTGGCGGGGGTCATTATTGCCCGGCTGTTTTGTTCATGCAGATATGTATGTGTCTGTGAAAAACAGTTGAGACTTGCCATTTTCGTCCTACCAACCGTTCGACGCGACCTATATTGATTGTGCATGAGTGATACATATGTATGGTCTATATACAGTAAGGACGTTCGAATCGGTCTCAGGTCTTTTTTGGGAGTTGATCAGCTTCATGGAGTGGAAGAACCCACACTGATCGAAGGTGGAGGCTCGAGCCCAGATGCTTCCTTTCATACTCGAGGTGTTGGAGGAGCTGAAATATTATCCCTTTGAATAGATGGGAGTAAAAAGTTGAAGCTTGGCTGGGTGCCTGTGATGCCGGGAATGACTCGGACCCGTTCGTGCACACCTCACCCCGACTGAAGTCGCTAGGATACGCACGCATCCTCTGAGCGTACTATTGGATTGCGATTCATGCATGATTCATACTCCAGGGGTTTTCTGGACACGTCGACAACATTGTTGAGGTAGTTCATGCATCATGCAGGACGTACGTAAGTGTACACATCCAAACTGCAACAAAAGCCAGCCGCCGGAACGAATACATGTATACGGATAACTTGAAAACGACCTAGAAGACTTAGTGGCCCAGATACGGCCGCAACGTTTCAAGGCGTCTCCAAATGCCAGTGAAAACGGAGAACTTCTGAAACTGTCTTTCCATTGACCTGACTGAGCTATAAGCTAGCCGCTCCGGGATCCGTGGACAAAGCTCAAGACGAACGCCACGCCACGGGAACGGACGTCACTTGCGCATTTCTAGTACGTACTACGTAGCAGGGACAACGCAAGCGGCATCATGTCATCCCTGAAATCTCCGAATTAGCAGACGTGGCTGGCCCAGCCAGCCAGCCAGCCAGCCAGCCAGCCAGCACAGCACAGCAGTTAGTTCAATGTTAGCCTGGACCGCGGGATTCAATTTGACGTCAGATCATATCCCGAATTCAAGCTCGTGGCGGCTGTCCGTCTCAAGTAAGCTCTTGCCACTTACTTGTTCACATCTTGAAGAATCATCGTATGCAGGATGATTGATATGAGACTCGTATATAGTATGTATCAGTCAGCGGTAACCTACTTCTTACGTTCACCAAATTAAGGCGGGCACGTAGTCCGCTTCGTGCTGTGCACTGAGCAACACAAAACGTGGTTTTTTTTTTACTCGCCGCTTTGTTGGCCCTTGGGGGGTGAATTAAGTGTGATGAATTGGCGCTAAGGAACTTATGCATGTATATGTAGCAGGAACATCAATGCATGCGGGGAACGAACCCGATTGAGCCGGATCAGAACCATCAACCGGGAATATGAAGGGACCTTCGTCCGCCCTGGCCATGGATGGCCAGGAGAATTAAGTAAAAGAGAGGCTGGTCACCCTGTCTACCAGGAAATATCTCGGACAGTAGCAAGTAAGTGCTACTGCTACGGAGGGGTTTTTAATCGCACGTTTCTAACAGTCTGTTAGGTGGACAGGGTTGTCGCGGCTGTTATACTAGCTAGCTGACGGTTATGACGTCCAGGGGTCAAGGGGTCGATTTTGTCGCAGTACAGCCCCGCGCTAAGGCTGTCATGTATGTACTTTTGCGCGGGCAACCCCCGTTACGCATATTCGTAATTAATCCGCCAATCACCCGCAATACTGCTCCGTCCGCCTAGAGCCTGCTCCAGGCCATTGCTCGCGACCAATCAAAAATGGACAAGACAGATATGAACCCCACCCCAGACTCCCTGGGCTACTCATTGAGGCCGATCGCGATCTGTTCCGTTCCGCGAAATATTGTAGTGAATGGGGAGGGGGTGCATAAGGGATCCGGGAGTACTACTATGGAATCCCTCCCGCAAAAAACGGATCGAAAATTGATGTGCTGTTCGTGGTAAGGGTTACCAGACCCAGACAAAGTGAGCCAGCAGGTGCATAAGACCATCAGACTTGGCAGTACCATAGCTGCAAAGTACACAAGTGAGCAATTGTAGTAGTACTGCATCCGGATCCCGACATACACAATGGGAAATGGAAACCATCATATCAATTTCAGGTGACTACCACCCAGCCAGCCAACCCTGCTAGCCATTCAAGGCACTGTGCATAACTCGGACCCGGTGTAACGTGGCACGTTACACCGGGTCCGAGCAGTGGGGCAAAGGGAAGGGCTCGGTGTTAACCCGTCCCCCCCTTCCACCTATCCGGAGGCGGTGATGGATCAAGCAAGGAGTCCGTACTATGTTATGTAGCAGCCGCATACCATCTCGCGCGCCTGCATCAAAGTTTCATCATATACTGCATGCACACTCCTCGCTGATGTTGCATTTTTTTACGTCCCAGCTGGCATATGGCCAGCCCGGCTAGAGCCTTGCGCGTGCGTGGAGAGGCGGATATAACGTGGCAATGATCGGTGTGTCGCTTAGATTGATATGCTAGTTTCTATACTACGTGGATAAGCGGCGCACCAGCCATAGATGAGCGGTAAGATGAGTCGATCAAGTGTATCATGTTTTGGATATTATTAATTGCTGGTGGGGGGGTTATGGACGATCGATCTAAAGGTGATCACAGGGCAGTGTCTGCACAGCTGATCTGCGCAGTACTTACCACTAATAAGCGCCAAAAATGCACATTGGAACACGCTTTCTTTTTACCCCCACTCCCCCCGTCAACATGGAAACGGATGTCTGAGAACTTGGGTGAGACCTCATTGGGGGGTACATAGTACGTAGTTGGACCCGAAGGGCGGCCTAGCATGCACTAGTAGCTTTGATCGTTACGCTGTGGCCCATGTTCCAGGCATTGCATTTTTACATCATGTATATAGTCGGGAGACTGCGGGCAAAGCTAGCTGGAAGAAAGTGCAAAAAAGCCGTTTCACAAGATCATCACACAAGTACAGTCAATCGGTGTGGAACTACATAACCCGTCCGATGTCCTGTGATCGGAAAGTCGAGGGACTTATGTTTGAGATTTTTCTCATGTATTTCCGGGATTGTGGAAGCGAGAACTTGATCTCGCACATCAGAAATTGTCAGGGAAAACAAGAATGACGTATGTGTAGGTGAGGGCTCGATCTATCGCTATCCATCATGTGTGTGTCTATAGGTACGTGTTCTGGAGCAAACAAGTCTTGCAGGATAGCTGTGAATGACTATATGAGAGCTACGAAACTGGGCTTCCGTACCTGAGTCTTGACGCGGAACGACATGAAGATCGGTCCGGCCAATGCAAATTGGTTCAGGCGTGGGCCTGGGAGAGAAATATATACATTTGGAAGGGTCTCTGATATTGACAGCGAGAGTAGGGGAGAGAAAGGGAAGGGGGGAGTTATGTTAATGCGGAACGGGTCGATATGTGCTGTTTGTGGTTGTGTCACGCAAAACGCAAAGCCCAACCACCCCCCCAACAGCACTGCAATTCGTACCTGGGTCACCAATATTATATGAACAATTCCAAGTATGCTTCTGTACCTATTCCTCGTCGGATACTTACATATATATATCATGAGAAGACGTGCCCATGCATGGTAAAAATGGAAGCACCAGTAATCGAAGCTGGATGGATGGATGGATTGGCGGAAGAAAGAAAAAGTCTAAATCTATCCGTTTTGAATTCCTGGAATCACGGATGTGATGTTCCTTAATGTATGTTACATATGTTAGGCGCTGAAGATGGGGTTGGGGGTGGGGGTGGGGGTGGGTGCCTCCCCTGCAATGAACGATACCTTTGACCATGAGCGATTTTGAGAAGGAAAAAGCGGTTCGACGGCATTTGCTGGTAATGGCAATTGCGAACCCCTCTGTTGGGAGACATCACGTGTTGTTTTTTAGGGTTGTCGCCAAGTCCGTGATAGGGCTGCGATTGAGAGAGATGTCTTTTTGCAAAATCAAGAGGATCTGGGCTGAGGAGTAGCAACGTCTACTATGGGCTGCACCCAGATCCTTGGTCCTCTTTCCCACACAGGGTTTTGTTTATTTTTATTGCCTCATTTGATCGCAATTTTTCGGAAGTTTTGTTTTTTGGACGCTTGCCGTGTATTACATAGTTTAAATGAATGAATGAATGATGGAATGAATGGATATACAGTATACATGCAATCGAAAAAAACGAAAGGAGTGAATTCTATGTTGTTGGCATAGACGACCAATTGTATTTTTTTTTTTTTTTTTTTTGCATTCATCAACTTCAGCGAAATTGGTCGCTATGCAGTTCGACCCTCTTCTCCTTCTACAGAAGAATACTGGATAAAAAAAAATAAAATAAAAAGCAGAGGCGGATATCTAGGCGAGGCGTTGAAGGGCTTTCGAGCTTTTCTTCTCTCCCGCTCTCTGTCCGCCGTCGGACTTTCTTCTTCCTTCAACTTCTGACAGAAAAAAACCAACGTTCCAACCGATCTCTAAGCTCTTGTCCTCCTTGGCTGTTTTCTTTGACCAATGGTTTACTACGACAGGTGTCTATGTGGGGCACCTCTTTCCCCTGCCAAATTGACAAATCTAGAGGCAACGACGGCGACGTCCATTTTCGATGATTGCGCTGCTGAAGACGGAGAACAATCCATATACTGTTCTACGACGTGCGCACGTCAAGATGCTCTCAATTCTCTCTCTGCTCGAGATCCAGCGACCAATGTCTCTTCCGCTTCTATCGGTCCATCCAACAACTTCCCTTCCTCCAGGTGTCCTTCACTTTCCACAGATTCAGATATCGACGATGAGGAAGATGAAGAAGGTGTGTGTTGGGAATGGGTCGTTACACCCTCTTCGCATCCCCATCGTTCTCCTACTACCGCAACGACTCTTGCCGGGTCTGCGGCCAGGCGTAACCCATTGTACGAGAGTCACTATCAACGCGTCGTGTCTCGCAAAGATGAACTCGGGTTCTGGTCTGGTGACGGTCGGCGTAGCCGGACTGGACAGTTGGAGGACGCGTCGATGGAGAATTTGACGCGCATGTCTCCTCAACATCTCCAGGGCAATTCCGTTATTGTCGAGGAAGATGAAGGGTTCATCGATGATATCCCTTCTCGTTCTGAGGACGCGACGCCCATCCCCCAGAAACGCGTTAAAGCGACGTCTGAGTCTGATCGTAAGGAGTTTCCACCCAATCCTTTGTCAAAGACTGCATCGTTGAATGAGTGGTGTGCGCATGGATTCCATGGGGGTCATGCTGTATGTGTGGAGGACGACTATGAAGAGGAAGATTCGACTAGTTCTGAGTCCGAGTATGTAGACTCGGGATCGGAGACGGATGAAGAAGGCGATAATTTCGTATATGATCGGTTCTTGGTGAGTTGGAACGATTTTTAGGAGAAAAATTTCCGCAAAAGTCCTTATGTGTTGGAAAAAAAAAACAGACTGATTCGCATCATCTTCAACCCGTTCATTCGCGTGCACCTACCCCTCATCCGTCAGCCGCTCCTTCTCCAATCGAACTCTCGAGAAACGTATCTCCCGCTCCTCCTCTCCCTTCAATCGACTTTTTCCCACCCATGTCACTGGACGCGCAATTGACCAACAACATCCTCGAGGTCTCCTCCTCGCTTTCCTCTCCGCTGTCGAAGAGAACAGCACGAACGAACATCCCGACACCTATCGATACGGCTCTCGCAAACGTCACCCGTTGTTCTTCTCCTCTCGCAGGCGAAACCCAAGAAGATGAAAGTTGTAGTGAGTCGTCAAGCGATGATGATGATGGAGATGGCCACGACGTCACTCAAACGTCAGGCTCACTTGCACGCCTCGTGGAAGCGCTGGAACAACTTGGAGACCCATACTCGCCCCCTTCGTCGTCGTACGAAGAAGATCCAGAAAATGATGAAGAATTAGATAAAGTCCTCTTTGTACCACCTTGTACACCAAGCAACACACGACGGCATACACCTTCATCACCTCTCATCCCAACACCTACACAAAATATTCCAAGGTCCGTATCCCCTCACCCTCCCTCTACGCCACTAGATATTTTATCATCTTTCCCTTTCCCTCCATCGTTATCATCATCATCATCACCATCGCACCCTTTAGGCCATCCTACATCCCAAAATCCCTCCCCACCTTCCCCTCTCTCCTCCATACCCCCACCGCAGCAACAGTCGTCCTCCCCTTCACTCATCCCCCCACATTCTGCAAGTCCCTTCGCACCTTCTATCATCCAACTCCAACGCACTCAACCTGAACTCCTCACTTCCATGTCGATAGGCGGAGTCTTGGAATTGAAACCTCTAAGTCCGTTAAGTCCAATCAAAGTTTTCGCTCTACCCCCGAAACCTCAACCTGCCACCTCTTCTCCTCTCGTGACGGAGAAGAGGAAAGAAACGATAGCGACCTGGAGTATTTCGGGGTCGACTGGAAGAGGAGGGTATGGAAATTTTGGACATGTGCATTCGCAGAGTTTGCATTGGAGGTGGGGTGTTAGCAGTGTTAGCAGCGCGACTGGGGATGATGCGGGGAGGAGACCTTCTATGCCTAATACGAGTGGGCATAGGGAAAAGGAAGGCGGAGGGAAAAGGATGAGTGGTGCGGCGAGGGTGTTGAGGATGGTCAAGAGCAGTCCTCATTTGGGATTGGGGATTGTGGGTGGGTCGGGTGGGTCTAAGCGTTGGTCTAAGAGTAAAGCGCAGTGAAGGAGTTGGAGGGAGAGTGTGGAGGTGAATCAATGTTCTTTGGTTTTTTTTTCTAGGTTGTGCGAGTCCTTCGATGGTCCTTACGTGGTTGTCAAGCTCATCCAGGTCAAATGGGGTTAGGTCAGGCCAGGTCGCACGTCCAGATTGTTTGCGCGCGTTTTCTCTTTTTCTTTTTTCCTTTCAAAGTTGACAGGCTCACACTTGTTCGCTCGTTTGATTTTCCCCTCTCTCAGCATTAGCCCACCTCGTCAAAAATCCACACTCGTTCTCTTTCCTCTTTTTACCTCTACGGCGTTCCTTTTAAGAAACATACATCTGCTCGCTCGTTTTGATTGGAGCCCCGTTTTCTCCACTCTCTCGCCTTTGACCTTTCGCCACTCTTTTCTCCAACTCGGCATTAAAAAAAAAACACATCGATAGTCCATTCTTTCTGATTCTGATTCTTTTTGATTGCCATTATTACTACGATGGGCCCTCTTCCCAACTATGGCACGCTCTTTTACTTTCTCTCTCTCTCCTGTTCTCATTTCTCTCTCCTGAGCGCTATTGACACTGGACTGCACTGGACTGGGGGACTGGATCATCAACTTAGGACTCCCTTCCTGTTTGGCTACCTGCGGCTTCATATCAGACCTTGGACTTTTTCGCCACCGCGCGTGCCCGGAATTCAGGACTCAAAAACTGGATTATCTTTTCATCGGGCTTGCTCTCCTTCTGTCCGCCCCCTTCATTCAAATGGCCAGCTACGTCACGTACCTACCAACACCGGAACCAATCACTCCCCTCCCCCCCAGATTCGATTATGGCAGTGACCAAACCCAACCCATCGGCTCGGGCTGGCGGAAAGTTGAACCCGTCGGGGGGCTCATTCCGTTTGTTCAATCATCAAGGTATCAAGGTATCCTTGGGGACTAGAATCTCGAATCTCGTTTTCGTTCTAGGGAAGATCCGAGGTGGGGGGGGGGGGATTGATCCTTGAAGCGAACGAGATTGACTGCGAGATCGATCACGATCGGTTCCCCCCTCCCCCCCTCACCCCCTTGGTGGCTTGTTGGGCTCCACCTGGGCCACGTGGCTAGGTTCTGCGTTTGATCGATGAGAAGGCCTGAGTTTTGGTATCTTGTTGCCTCCTTTATTTGGGACGGTATCTTGACTCCCTTTTCAGTTCCATTTTCATCATTCTTAGTCATCCTTCGTGGGTTGGGGTGACGAGGGTTGCTAGCTCGACCCATGTACACATTGACGCTCCCACCCCCCTATCTGAATCCTTCTGCCCCTCTCCTCTTGACTGTCAAAGGGCTTCGCGCCAATGCCCAAGCGTTCCAAAGATCGCGTGTACCTGTAACTTGGATTCATCCTTCAGGGCTGCCAGATTAGATTGATTTACGTCTTCGTCTCCTTTTGGTGCAACTCCCTTGTTGCTTTCTACCTCAAACTAACATCCAGAAGAGAATTCTGCCTCTTGTTGTCGTCTTGGGTTTTTTTTTTCTTTCTCCTTTCTTTTCACCTTCGGACGGACTCTCTTCTTCCATTCTGTACCAACAACTTCATCCTCGCTTACATCTAACTGCATTGCATTTTATATCATCTTATCGTCATCGTTATCTTTTTTTTTTTTACCACATACTAGTTCAACTTTATCATTCGAGGTTCCCCGTCTCTCGCCCCATTGACGGACGAACCCGAAACAAAAAAGGCTCAACAGCTAGCCGACTTGTCATCCTCCAAAATAAAACGCTGTAGTCATTTCTTCGCTTCGTTTTTTTTTTCATCGCCTGCTGGCTTGCTTGCCGTACCGTATCTCGCCTGTTTGTTTTGATCGCTTGAGAGAAAAAATTAAAAGATTGTATACTCTCGTGTTGTATAACTATACGAACCCAGCATTGGATCGACGTACGTTACATGGGATATGCGAAGGCTCATTGGCTTTTCCGTCCAGCTGCACGTACCCGTCAGTTATGTATGTTCAGCACTGAGATCCATAAGTGCCCGAGTTGGGCTACGAGATCGAGAAGCGTAAAAAAAAAAAGAATTTGCGTACTTGTGTCGGGATTCATCATTATCCGAATTAAACTAGTACGTAGATTCACTCACTCACAGCGATGCGATGCGACCGTCGAAACGTTGTGTCATGAGCCCCAACTGAGCCGGTTATGCATCGATCGTATGTATGCGTGCAACTATATAAGGCCATACAAAAATGCATGCACGCAGCATCTATACTGACGTGTCCACGCCAACCATGGGAGCCATGCATGCATGTTAGTGCATGATCGATTGTGAGTATCATCGATGATTGAGCCCCGCCCCCGCCGAGCCGCATGTGGCCCTGCGAGTGGCGTGGGTGCAGGACGGTGTGTGTGATCGATCATCGGCAAGAGAGCTAGAGAGATATAAGATTGCATCGAGCCACATAATTATAAGTGTAGAAAGGAATGTATGTACTGCGTAACAATTTTTGGGACGTTCGATGGATATATATATGATATGACAAGATGCAGAAATGATTGTCTCGGGTGTCTAATTGTCATAACTGCCTGGACTACTTGCTTGGCAACTATTCCTAGCAAATCGAATTAGTTGAACACATCATAATTATAGGATAATAAAAGCGTACGTTAGTGAGTGGGGAGCTTGAAATTTATCCCCATCATCTCCAGTGTCGCTGCAGCATTATTGGGCACCCCCGAAGTAAGGATGAATTCTTCCAAGTGCGGTAGGCGTTGACTTCGTAAAAACCTCCATTCCTCATCATCTCCCCCACCAACAGCATCAACAAACTTTTCCACGTTCCAGCCTCCTTCCGTGCCGATAGTCACACTCAAGAGATTCGGTGGGAGCAAATCAAAGAATTTGCAACTCTCTTGCGGCCCATCGTCGACGACACTCGAAGGCCCGAATAGGTACAAGCATGGGATAGAGAGCGTCTTGAGCGAAATGAAATCACTGAGGGTACCCATGGGTTCAAGACTTTCGTCTAAATAGCCCGAAATCGTAATGCAGAGAGTGGTAAGACTCTGCAATTGGTGTCGGAGAGCTCTGCAGAAAGCAGGAGGATCAATGCCATGATATATGGCAGCACCCCAGCCATTATGATAAATCAGTATATCCAACGCTTCAGGGGTTTGAAAAATGCAATCTAATAGCTCTGGGTTAACGACGCTCAAGCTCAGCTCAAGTTTCTTGAGCTTTGACGATCGGTTGGTGAAGCGCACGCTTCGAAAGATTGTCTGTCTCCGAAGTGCCAAATCCTCATCATCGCTGGAGTCATCGCTAGATTTAACCCCCGTCCACCAGGGAAACATATCCCATACTGGAGATTGGCTCACTCGGAACGAGTTGAGAGCGGGAAGGGACATAAAGGGGACGACATCCGCAGTGCGCAGACCATCCCTGTACGCGTGGAAGCTCAGCCCAAGACTCCTCAAAGACTGGAAAGCTATGGGGAGGGGCCCATGGTATCCACTGAGACGCCAAGTCCACCTTGTGGCCATCACCACATCACAGTCCATTTCCCTTATCACTAGACTTTCCAACGATGGCAGGATATGCATCAACAATGAGAAATAAGGTCGACACCAACCCTTCTCGAGGTCAAAAACAGCACAAGCCGACATTCCCTTTTCGCGCGCCAAAGTTTGGAGAGCAATCAGTTTGCTTTTGTCTGCAGCGTATGGTGTTTTCGACTTTGTTTCCTCTTCATCATAAAGGCCATACCATAAAATGTCAAGATGCCGGGTGAGTGGTCGTAGTTCAGGCCGCAAAATAAGCGTATGTACGAATCTTCGAAGTTGGCGTTCGTCTCCTGTCTCGAAGCCACGGTCCTTGAGAGACACAGATCGATATAGCTGAGTTTCGGCAATCCCACGTAAACGACGGGATGTGAGTGTGAGGGAGATGAGCTCAGAGGGTGATGAGACATCCTGAGCGATGTGCAAGATAATTTCATTGGGAATATCCTCGAAAGTACGCATTGTCATCGCTTAATTGTGGATGTGTTTGACAGGCAGTCTTGCTAGCTCTACCATAGGTTTTTGAATTGCACGTGTGGAATCAGACTCGAACCGCTGCGCAATGTTAAACTGCGTTTAGAGGAAAATATTTCGCCGTACTAATCCCGTGCTGTCCGCTGTAAAATCCCAGCCCCCTGAGCAGGCGCTGGGTTGGACTTACGAGGCTGCTTTATTCGGATTTCACGTGGTGGCTGTTCTATCTGACGCTAACTTCCTCGTCTCTGCACTATTCCCCATCTTATTCTTCAGCTCTGCATTTTTCGTGTTCTATTCGACCTTGAGAATATGTCCATATATATATATTATCCACGGTTCCACATCGAGCCGACGCCGTGCACATGGACCAAGTCAAGGGAGAACTCCAATGGAAATTTGACACCCGCGACCTTGGTGAGCTGTTTGGCTTAATTAGAAGTTCACCCAACTCTCGCGACACTGTTAGGAAACCCTCCTAATGAGGCAATAATTTGTGATAAACCCTTGCCACCTTGCACAGGCACGCGCGCTGGAAGCCCAGGTTAAGTCACTGGCAAACTTAAGCCCATACCACATGGCACCTTCTTTAAAGCCCCTAGAAGAAGTTTTGGATAGGCGCCTCCACTCTCTCCCACAACCGTACCACGTCACAATTTTCATTTTCCCGCGGTTCACACACTTGTTGGCATGCGAGTGTCAGCGAACGTCTCCAGTTGAGGCACTGAGCCGCGCGTCTCTATCTCTGCTATCACTCTGCACTCCCTCTGAGGCTTGGAATGCGCTCAGGAGGGAACTTAACATTTCTGGGGCTGACTTTGTGGATTTCTTTCTTCGTTGGAACTGGTATGCTGCATGGAAGAGTGAGGAGAATGATCTGGACATGCTTTCTGGAGCATGCGCGACATTTGTGGCAACAATGTGCGCATAGCTGTCTCAACCCGACTCGCTGTCGTTCCTGGGGCTGGGGGCACAGTGGAAATCTGGCAAGACCGGATTTGGCTCTGTCCACAAGTGTGAGCACTAGATCTGGCTGTCAGAGGACAGCGGATGGATCAACTCTGCTGCCGACCGCCACATCGCATAGGAGCATGATGCCTTTATCGATTACCCATTGGATGCTGCGACTTTGTCACAAGTGCAACGCTGCCGAAGCAGGCAGCTTATAGATTGACTCTGGTGCCAACTGCCACGTTGTCACAGTGAATGCTGGTAACTCCGGTGTTGACTACCATGTCATCACGGAGCACTTACACCAGGCTGATTTGCGGCTGGTATCGAGATATTTCCCCACTTGAGTATCTCCCGCTGAGTGCCACATAACAACAGTCTTCTTGTACTCTGCATTCAGCTCTCATCACGATGATGCCAGGTGGACGCTTAAAGCTGCTTCCTGGCCCCAGTCTTTTGAGGCAAGACCAACTTATTGTATGGGTTGGCTCAATGCAGTACTCCGTCCTTCCATACTAACAGTAATATGTGCTGCCGCAGGGTTCCATCCTTGCTACCAACCAGTCATTCAGAGAGGGATGAGCGTTTGCGCGCAGGAAGATACTGTGGTCTTAATACCAATTCCCTTCTTATCCTCCCTAGGAAAATAAATATTGGCACTGCATCGTTGGTCTTGCCAGCTAACTGGAAACGGGAGGTTTTGGGAAGGGCGATGTAGTTGGGCATATATGGGTTACCGGTTACCCCAGGCGCGGGCATGGTACCCGCGGTGTTATTATATCAAGTAATGGTGCTGATTAGGTTACTTGCAGTGGCTGCGTGCAGACAGTTGGACTGGGTTAGGGAGGATCCCCTTCAAGATGTTGGAGTAGATTGATTGAATCCATGGTTCTCTCAATGCGATATGCTACTAGTATTAGTGCTAGCACCACAGGTGCAGGGAAAGGGGGAACTGGCTTGAGGTATAAATATATAGCAGAAAAATGTGAGCAGTGTCAGTTCCGGATTGGTCTAAAAAGCCGAAGCTTTGTCTATCTGTATGTACGTCGCGAGATGACTGGGTGTAATATTCTAAGAAGTATTCAGCAATGGATAGTGTCAGCTAGCCGCACACTATTCTTCGCTGCAGGAGTTCTGTGCTGTTTCTGTCCTTTTCTGTAGTGGTCTAGTGCGCACAATATCATGTACTATTCGGCCTAGGAATATTTACGCGGTGATCAATAGTAGTTGTGTCCATACATGCATGTATCCTCAAATCTCATAGTCATATCACGCTCCCACAGACCCCCCATAGCCGCGCAACTATTTAATTCGTCAGTATGTAAGTTTAATTCAATAGTTGCCTCAGGTTGGAGGCCGGGGGGAGGGGAATAATAATGTTTCGGGTGGCGCGCACCCACACCCACACATATACGAGCCGTTTTGCATTAATTGCTTCGCTTCGTTTCGTTTCGTTTCAGTTCAGAAGAGGATAGTAGCTCAAATAATGGGTCATCACTTCTAGCGTAGCAGTATTGCATGTTCTATGTAATACATATATGTCGTGAAGGAGCCCGGGCTTATCACTGTGTATTGAGTTGAAGAACACGTACGCGCGCACATACAACAATCCGGAATTAAAGGAATGCACACGAAGGGTAGTAACAGAGATGAAACCGTGACGAGAAGTACTACTACAGCCTTGACAACTTCTCCCTACTCGGCTTGTACTTTGACTTCAAATCCTCATTATTCTTCAACATCTTGTAACCACTCTCACCCCTATAATTCTCTTCCCTCATCCATTGCTCAACAGACATCGTCTCTGGATGAACGCTCCTCACCCATTCCATATCCCTCTTAATCTTATTATCCCTCCACTGTGCAAACCAAGCACTGAAATTCTCTTGAAAACTGGTCGCACCGTATTGCAATTCATTAGCCACAGGTTGATCCGCTCCATCCCAAAGAGCGAAATACTCTTCCATCGTCACCGGTTTGTATTCGGCTGGGAGACCTGTCACTCGCCTGAACGTTTCTACGAGTTCGGGCCAGGTGATAGGGTGAGAGGCTACTTGGAGATCCCTTCCTGTGGTCGTTTCGGGTGAGTCGAAGATGTGACGGACCCACCAACCTAGGTCGGAGAGAGCGATGAGAGGAATGGTACCGGTTTCGCCGATGGGAGAGACGAAGATTCGGGTACCATCTTCGCGGATTTTCATCGGTGCGAAGATTGCACGGAGCCTGTGATTTTGGATCAGTTTCCTGAGGGGGGGGGGGGGGGGGGAAACTCTTACATATCCATGTAAGGCCCATTCGTGAACACGGTCCACATCAATCCATCCTTCTTCTCAATCTCATTAGGCTGAGACGCCAAAAATTCCCCAACGCGCCCTTTCGCATTATAATGATCACACTTGTACGTCCGATCCCAATCGGCAGCTTTGAGGGAATAATCTAAACTGGACCAAACGAAATGACGAATCTTCTTCGATTTGGCGATTTCGTAAATAGCGAGACCGGCATATGTTTCCGCTTGCTCTCCGACGCTGAATCCGTCCGTGTTGACGAACGCGCCGTATGCACCTTGGAATAAGTCTGCGACGACTTTGAAATCGAGGAAGGAACCTAAAATAGGTAGAGTCAATTGAATTTCCATGCACGTATTTCAATTCAATTGAGATGTTTATAACCTTGAACAATTTCAGCGCCAAGATTGGCGAGCTCCTTTGCACGTCGATGGTTTGGGTTACGTGTTAAAGCACGAACACGGTAAGGCGATGGTGAACCGTCTTTTGATGGGGAGAGGAGTGCTTTGACGACGGGTGAACCTTGAGCGCCAGTTCCACCAATGACAGCGATAAGTATCGACATTTTTTTTTGGAGATGTTGTGGTCGCAATAAGGATAGTTCAGCAAGATTCAGCTAGCTTGTAGATAGGATTGTCGCAACTGGCCTCCGACTTCGAGCGACCTTATATATATACGCCCGAACCCCCTCCCCCCAAGTAATATATATTCCCCAAGGGTCTAACTAAAACAACCTTTCGGCAACATTCCCTATAGAGGGGTTTCTAAGCAGTTCTTCCAAGGACTACAAACCCCGGCCACTTGGATGCGATCCGTGCAGGTCGGAAAAAAGTCTTCGGCATATACTGTAATGTAGCCAACGAGAATGATGACCCTGACAAGCTTTTCTATGGGGATGGCGGCGCCGAAAAATTGGCGCACATGAACTGCATGGATGGAGGAGGGGCTAACTGACCTTCTTCTTTTTTTTTTTGTTTAGCGTAAAACATCAAAATGATGTATCCCGTCGGAGCCTTGATCTTGTGGGGGGGAGGTGGGCCCTAGAAAATTGTATGAAATTTTATGCAAAAAGAAAAGAAAAATCCAACGAATCAAGAAGTTGTTGCAGAAGGCCTGGGTACCCAACCTTGCTTTGCTCGGTGATGTCAGCAGAGCATGTAATCTCATGGCAATGAACGAACACAGAGGTGCCAGCTCCAGCTCATCCAGCTCGGGGGGGGGGGGGGGAAATTATGTAAAAGTATATTTTTTCTTTTCTTTTTTCTTTTGAGGGCTGAATCAGTAATATTTCTTGTGAAGGTCCGACTCATCAGCTGGTGGGACCTAAAGCTAAATGATGTAACCCAAAAAAAATATGAAGGTCGAGTTGGAAACTACTGGATCTCACTCACCTCGCGTCGTTCACTTTGCCGGGCGGCACGCGTCACGCAACGCAACTCTTAGTCATCAGAGGGACATGATGTAACCAAGCGCACCCAAAAAAAAAAAAAATTGAAGGTCGAGTTGGAAACTACTGGATCTCAACTCACCCCGCGTCGTTCACTTTGCCGGGCGGCACGCGTCACCCTTGCAATTGCAACGCAACTCTTACGACGAAGAGTTCATCACGCACGGTGATCGAACATGCACGGGGGAATCAGAATCATTAATCATTAGTTACATGCAGCGCCCCGGCCCCCCCTCCCACATCCTGACCCGTTTCATAATGGAACAAGTTAATTGCGACGATAACGTTGATTGCAGAAAACAAGTATTCTGTAGTCGAACTTGCTTGGTTGGATTCTTCAAAGGCTTTGTCCAATTAATGCATGTTCCGGCTCCCCCCCCTCCCCCAAGAAGAACGTAGTCCGGCCGTAGGTGAGCGTCTTGTTCACATGCGTTTTCCCTCTTACTTACGAATCAAGGTGCGCCGCCGATGTATTGATCACGGCAGGGCAGAGTGTATATGCGTATATATACACCGCCGTGGAAAATGGATCTAGTACTATCAAGGAAGCAGCACGTAAATTAATGAGTTGGAGGGAACGCAGCTAGTGGAAGGATCCATCCTCATGCACCCGCCACCCCCCATAGATTCGAACGAGGTGCGTTCGAGAGCTCTAGAAATGAAATCTTCCAGAGATTATCCGTACTGACTGTGATCGGATCCGTTTACATGACCGTCGACCTTTTGAAGTCACATTGCGCTTCTACAACACGCGTACGCTCATTAAAGAACCCTTAGTTCATTCAGTCCCGCAACGCCACCCGATTTTATTTTATAGTGGAACACGAAACGATTCGGCAGCAACGCATCGTACATCCGTTTACTCACGGTGTATGAAGAAGACTCAAGTCCCGACCGGTTACGGGGAAGAAACGCGATCAGGGGGGGGGTTTTGCGCAGTGCCGAAATGAACAAGTAGAGACTTGTTTTTTCAAGTATAGCACCTGATCGCTGGCTAGGAGACTGTGCGACGGTACACAGCGACCCTGAGTCATGAAATCCTCCTTCGGATGAACTTCCGGATTCTTTGTGGATGGATTTCATTGGCAACAGTGATCAGGGCATAAGCGTTTAACGGACAGATTGCGTAAAAACAAGGAAGGCGTGGATGTGGAACCTATCATGTTAAGATTCGGAACTTGAAGGTGGAGCTAGGTCCAAGGAGAAAGGGGGTTTCGAGCGGAACCCTGGCCGAAGATGACTGATAGTATACACACGGGGATCACCAGTATGCAAGTCAGATTGAGCGCGCGTTGTTGGGATGCAAACAAAGGCAAGGGTGCAACAACGTTGTATATTGAACCTTGCAGCTAGTAGACAACATGTGTGGCCTGCTGCTAGACCGTGGCATGGCAGACATCATCACAAGAGCACGCACGAGATCGATCGGGGAGGCAAATGCGAACGTGGGACCGGTTAGTCACCGAGGAAGGATTTTGGATAAAAGGGGCTCTCCTTCGGAGTGCACGTTCCGTACCTCCATTGAGTTCTATTTTGCGGGTTCTCGGCCGACGGTTGTATTGCGCCCCCCCCAGCCACAAACACTTTCACGAGGAACTGAAGGGTTGCAGGCGCAAAATGCCTTGCATAATATTGCATTGGTTTGAAAGTGAAAGGCTTGATTAGAGAGTATCCGTCCAGTTGGAACGATACTCCTTGCATAGGAAGAGTATATGAACAACTCGCTGGTATCTTGTTTAGTAGGCTATTCTACACGATGATCGGTGACAAAACATGACTCCCGTTGAATGGATCTACTCTCACTTGGCCGGGCCCGGTTCATCACAAGAACAAGAGACTTTCCTTCCACCCCGACTACTGAGCTGAGGCAACTTCGAAACAGATATGTTTGCGGTAATGAATGTGGCACATCCGCAAGAAATCCTGGAGACCTAGCTTGATCGCCCTTTAGGAAGGGTGCCAAAAACCCTCCTTGCCTCCTCTTTTGCGTTGTCGTTAGGTACTCCCCCCCTGAATGTGTTGAATTTCTACGATTCGTATGCTTCAAAAGGTGTCCTCAATAGTGTGATGATACTAGCCTCCTATTTTTTGCTTTTTAGTTTAGCCATAGCATCGAAGGGGATTGCCTTGCCTAAAAGGAAAAGGAGCTGGGGCATGACGGGTTGCAGGAACGGATGTTCCCAAACATGTGGGAAGGAGTTAACACGGGAGCATAATAATCACAAGACCCTATATAGTATCGGCAGGGAGTAATGCCTACTAGAATATGTCGATACACACACACACACTCTCGCCTTCTGGGCGCGTATTGAGAGAGTGTGTGTTTGGATAAACAGCCACGCAGATGTGAGAAGTCATGTCGGATCTGGCTTTCAATTGCCAGAATCAAATTCTGAAGACAGATGATAACACACACGGCCACACGTTCGGTGAAGGGCAAAGAGTGTTCATGATAAGGGGAAGGAAATACTTGGACGGAAGAAGTCAGCGATGGGACCTACTGCTGTAAAGACTTCTGATGAGACCCGAAGCGAGAGACGTTTGTGGGCAAGCTCACTCACATATTGAGCACGTGACAGAATCTGCACTCGGGTCCTTAATTTATTCGTTCATTCGTTTATAAAATATCGCACACTTCTGAGTCCTCTAGCCGCGGACCGATTTGCACTTCTGCTTACTCTGCCACGCATGCTCCAGCCGGGCGCAGCAATACATTCGAGAAGTGGATTATGGTTCAAATAGGCTGGGAGTAGGCATCGTACAATATATTGATCAATCCAAAAGAGCGCTCGATTGCTTGTCCGTGTATATACTTGTACGCGCGCAAGCACGTACCTGTAACCCGTTTATCCCGTCCCTCATAGAAGATCCCACCGCCCAAAGCGTTATAACGCTGTTTTTTGCGGGTCAGTGAGTGGGTAACGCCCTGAGGGACAAAATCGACCGCGACCACAACTCCGCGCGGGTCGCGCACTTCGTTTTTTTCCCACACTATGGAATTTCCGCCGAATACTTTGGCAACCTCATCGAACCTGTATTCCTTACGGAAATGGACGAACAGATGCGTCCGTTAAAATGGATCACTTGCGAGTGAGCCACTTGTCTGACTCTGAGTTTCACTTTGGGTGTCTTGGGTAATTTGAATCGCTGCAAACCCTGGCTTGTTCTCGTTGCGGTGAGACGATTGAGACTTGGACATTTGACTCCCGTCCGCGAGGTCTCAGCCAAAAAGTCTTATGGTCCGATCTCCCTTTTGTACTCCGTGCAATGGTGCCTAGGAAGGACTCCGTTTAGGCAATACCCCATCATTTCTCTGAGTGCAGATGTCCCAATCTCGCCTTCCTCGGCATGTGAAACGCACTGTGCCCCAGTCGTCTTCCCGTGTTTTATTCAATAATCCGGAGCCCTTTAGCACCCAGACGGAATCCATTACTGTACGCCCTGATGGACCCATGGCAAAATTTTCACAAGTTGCAAACGTGAGTCCTCGCACTCCGATGACAAACGTGCCACGCGGTGGTCCAAAGATCTTTCAGACATCCCCTTCGACGAATCTCACAGGGTCACCACCTCGTCCTTCGGCGTTGCGTGGTCGAAACGTTTCCGCTCCGCCCCGATCTAATTCTCTTGAATCTAAAAAGAAGGCTGGGCCTTCAGAGTCCAGTGTTGTCTCTCCTCGCGGGCAGATCGGTCAACCAGTTCTTCCAGTTCTTCCGACCGAGAGGACCAATGCATCTGCATCGCCCCCTGCTCGGCAGGAGGCTTCAAAACAGGATACAGTGGTCAGCGAACACCCTGTTCCCCGGACAACCCGATCCAGATCCTTTGCTGGTGTTAGCAGACTGGTTTCGAAGATAGTCCGCAGCGATCCTCTCCGGGCGAGCGACCCGGGTCCTAGAGTGGCACAAGCTAGAGTTGCTGACCACTTGTTGCTTATCGATGATACTCATTTGCATATCCTAAGGCGGCTGGGAAGGCTCGTTGGCGAGATGCCGGGATATGAGGGTAAAGGGGCTGAAACCGTCAGGAGTCTCATCAGGGGCGATAAGTTGATTGCTTTGCACTCTTCGGAGAAGGAGGCAAAGCGACAGGCTGAACGTGATCGCAAAAAAGGTGAAAAGCGCTTTAGAAAAGGTTTGTTACTCTCGTTATAATCCAATATCCTTGTTCGTCTCAAGGGTTCTTTTGCAGAGCATCCTGTCTTCGGGAAATCGCTCATTTCTGTTGTGCACTATGCTGCTTTGCCGTTGTTTTTGGGAAACCAGCTCGAATGCCGTCTACCGACGGTCCTGATTAAGACGGTAGAGGAAATTTATGCTCGGGGTAAGCTAGCTCGCTTCCCTCTATTCCAATGCTTCTAACTCTTTCCAGGCTTCCATATCGCACCAATGTTTAGGAACCTTCCGGAAGAACAAACGGAAGGCGTACGCAATCTCATCGACTTTCACAGCACCGGACCAAGATATGGAGACGATGAACACTCCCCCATCCACACAGCCCCGCTGCCAGATATCGCTGCGACACTTTTGCATTACCTCAACACTTTGCCCGATCCTCCTCTCGACTCTGCACTTCTGCATGCCATCCTTCGGTTGTGTGTGCTTCCATCTACTTGCGACCTGAAAAAGTATGGCAGGCCATGTTCTCCTTGGAAGGAACGACGTCGTATCCGAGTTGCCAAACTTGTGCTTCGCCTTCTACCCAAGTCCCATTTCTCCACTCTTGTTTATCTCCTTGCTCTGCTTTCGCTCGTGCCCACCGATCCCGTTCACGACTTGACATATAAAGACATTGCCGATGTTTTCGGTTATGCAATTTGTGGACCCCGGGATTCTTTATCGTTCCTTCGCGATGGAGATATGACACAGCGTATCAAGACAAGGGATACGGATAGATTTGAGGAGGTTGCAGATGGCTATGTGCGGGCTCTGGCCAAGGAAGCTCTTTTGTGGTTATTGCTCTACTGGGATTATATTTCAGAAGGACTTCTCACAGACGACTTTGAGGGTGATCTGGAGAATTTTGGTGAGGAGGATGAGGCGGTTTATGGAAAAGATGCATGGGATGACCAAGATGATGCTGAGGGGGACGAAGGCGAGGATGACGGCGTGGACGACTCATGGCTGAATCCTTTGGTGGAACTTACTGCTGTTTCTCCATGCAAATATTCCCCTCGTCAAGTCTCGTCCACCTCTTCGTTTTCGTCATCGCCGAATCCTTCCCAGACATCGTTGAGTATGAAGTCCAGTGACAGCGACGCTTCGTATGAGATGCCGTTCCGGCTCTTCCAAAATGCAAAGCCTACACCTGGAACAGAATATCTCGGTCATTCGGGTTACTTTTCTTGCAATCCTCGCTCCGGAAGTGATCAACTGTGCACATCGTTGCGGATCACTGACGCAGCGACAAGCTCAACGAGCATTGCCAGTGCGTATTATCTTTTTTATGCATCGTTCTTATTCACTTGGATTAGCCTCCGCTATTGCAGAAAACTCCACATTCGAGAAGTCGCCAACCATCACGGGCGCTTCCGCTTTGGAAGAGCTCATCCATCATCAAGAGAATGATATTCAGTTCAAAATGCAGACTATCTCCTCACAGGCAAACAGGATATCAACCCTCGAGAACGAGGCTAAAAAGCTCAGGGAAGAGAGGGACCAGTCCAGGGCTCAGCTCGAGAAACTCAAGGCGAAGCTAGAGAGGCTAATGGCTGACTAATTGCACAACCGACTACGGCTATCATTTTCGCACCATAGATCCAGTAGACCCTGCTGGTGTGCTGCAGACGAGTCAAGGATGCCATCTTGTCTGTTCACATGCATCGCTATAACGTGTCCTGCGTCCGCATTAACTCAAGGCGCGCCTGTAAACGTAATTACAGTTCGGCACCAATATTGGCAGATTACTTTGCTCTTAACAAGCGGTCAGGAGAATTCAAATTATACTTGTAACATTAGGTGTATAAAAATCGATATAACACGAAGAGAGAGGATGGAAGATAGGAAGTGATCCAAGTGTTCTTTTTATGTCCATGATCGTGCTCTTTGGGTGCAACAGAAGAAACACCCACGAAGGGTGAAAAAGAGATAGGGGTGTAACACCCATCAAATCAAGAAATGCCTTTGTGTACCAAAAGCAAGCGGACCGCAACCATCAGTCGCCGTTGCACTGGATCTGCTGAGGTAGCAGATGTCTCGGACGACATGACAGCCGAAGATGATGTTAACATCAGAGCATTCTTCAGCTGCTCTGAGGGAAATTCTGGAAAAGAGGGCGCGGCAAAATTGGCTACTTCTTCATCTAAACCAGAAGCTGGTATGTTAGCTTGCAAAGGGGGGGAAGAGCAACACATCGTACCGCTGGGCTCGACATCGCGATGGTGTAGATCCTTGCAGTCTGGATCAGAACAAGTTCCATCACCTGAAAACTCGAAACGACAGCAGCGCAGGTCTGGATCTGAAAGGGAAGAAATGTGTGACTGGCGCAGCAGCCCGTAATCAAGCCGTTTCACTTCATTGATAACAGCGGAGGATAAGGAATACGAAGAAGCCGAGGAAGGACGAGAGAAATGGGTTGATGCAAGTGAATACAAGGAGGGGTATAAAGAAAAAGGAGAGACATAGGGTCGGAATTCTGTGTGTGGCTGAAGACCGGCGAAGGCCTGTCAGAGTTGAGTCGTGTGGGATAAATGTTCTAAGAGAATCCAGAATGGCCCAATGACGCACCTCAGTGTTCGCAGTGTCTGACACACCGATCAGAGGGTTTAAAGGGGAGCTGTCCTGGAAAAAGAGATCAGACAAGGCATAGTGAGCAAATAGAGCCGCCGCCACAACTTCAGGAGACGGTGGACCGGGAACCCGGAGTTGTGACTGGGTGATGGTAACATACTGGAAGCCGACCATACCTGCGTGGAAGTGGCATCCTGTTCCCGGGTGTAAGGTTTATTGTCACTAGCATGCGCTACAAGAGGGAACCCAGTCAATGCAATGCAGAATGCGCGATTGGGACATATTAGAGGTAAAACAGAAAACGACCTGTGGTTCCACTCGCCAGAAGTGTGTGAAGGAGAGCCGTTAACACGTCGTTCGTTAGCACCTACTAAGAAGCCGCATGAGGTTTAGATTCTTAATGACTACAGAGCAAATTATTAAAGACCATAGGCATTATTGACTCGAGTAAAAGCCGATGTGTTCCTCGGCGCTTCACCTGAAGGGTATTGAGCGGAGTGCTTCTAGGGCATTTGGGGCATTTGGGGAGGGGCGTACCATAATTGTTGACGCTCAGATCAAACGCTCCTTCTTCGGTCTTTACCACAACCATCCCAGGGTCAGGCAGACTGGATGGAGGAATTATTGTTTGCGATTCTCCGTCAGCGGAAGGCGAGATGGGTTCTGACGCAGCCCGAGACTCGGCGACAGTGAGCATAGACTTTTTTTTCTTTTCTTCCATTGTTCGAATGAGCTCTCTCATTCGCTCTATCTCTCGCTGCTTCTCTTCCCAGAGCGTCTTCTTGTTCTTGCTTGGTGGCATCGACCTCGGAGGGGGTAATGATTTCACGGATACCGGGGCACTGCTCTCCCGTCGAGTTTCCTTCAATTGTTTTGGCCGAAGATTGGGCGGTGGATCACCGGGCTCTTCATCTGAGTCAGATTCGCCTTCGGAAAGATCGATAATGACACGACTCAGAGAAGAAGGCCCAAAATTCTTTCGGCGTTTGTGGGGTGGAAGTCCGTTGGAATCTATTATTGACGAGTCTGCCGCTGACCGCAACTGGTCATCCTCGAAAGGATATGACGCTGCTACATAGTCGACAAAATCAGCTGCGACAGGACGCTTCGAAGACGTGCGCTTCGTGGGCGGCAATGAACTCAATGAATCCAATTGTCTGCCTTCTACAGGAGCGTCCTGCTGAAGATGTCGACTGGCAATAAGTTCTGACGTCTGTCCACGTCTCGCAGACTTTGTTGACTTTGAGAATAGTTCAGGTGACGATGTGGAGTCCTCCATTTCGCCGCTCTGGAGGGCTTGCTCTACTTCCATAGCTTCATCAACCCCGGAGGGCGAGTCCTCATTGCTAGCGTTCGTGGTATTGGTTGACGAAATAAAATGGGTGACTTGTTTTGCTTCGCCCCGTTTTATTGCGTCGGCTATCAGAAGGTCAATCTGCATGTCATCCGAACCACCGAGTGGCACAGCATGCTCAATCGAACTAGTGGTTAGGGATTTTGGTGACGAAGTTTTAGGTTCAATATCGGAGCTCAGAGCACTCGCTGCCTTGGCAGCCTCCTTCGCTCGCAGACTCTGAAGAACTTTGCGGCGCGCCAACAGCTCCCGTTTTCGCTGTTGCTCGATATCATCCAAATCAATGACTAGTTTTGGGGTAGGAGATTGTTGAGACAATGAGTTTGAGGTCTGAGGGTCCAAAAGAGTTGATTGCCCAACAGAGACATTTGGTGCTCTGTCTGCATAGATGGTTGGCTTCGGGGGAAGGAAAGCAGGTTTTGATGGGAGTGAGGAAGGTGGAATCATAGGTGGATTTGGTTTCGGTGTTGCTGGAGGGGGGGATACGGCAGAGGACGAATCGATGGGTGGTGATGGCGGGTCCAATGTAGCCTTCAGTGGTTGCGGCTTCGGTTGCTTTGCGGGTAACTTGGCTTTGACTTCGCGCTCAGCATCTTCGATGATGCCAGCTAATACCTCAGGTATACGAAGCTTCAGCTCCGTGAGACAAACGACGACAGCAGTACGCGACACTCCGCAATCAAGAAGATGCTGTGGATGTACACCGCAGCCGAGGATGTCTAGGATCGTAATCTTCGCTTCAAAAATCTCCTCAGGGGTCACTGTCGTGAGGTTAATCGGCATTTGTCACAAACATTCAATTTTGGGCACGAACTTCCAAGACGAGAGCGCAAAAGATCCAAAGCGGCTTTTGAGGGTATTCTAGCAACTACATTAGTAGCTGTGGGCGGGGGAGGATATGACGAAGCTCGGCTTGACGTATGCTCCGATGGATCAACTTCCATGCCCGGCTGCATTCAAACGCGCCCTTAACGATGTCAATATATGATAATAATGAAGACATACCGGGGTCTGGGATATCGATTCTTGACTGTTCTTGCTGTTTGTGTCGGCCGAAGGTCCATTCTGATGATGCGGTGAGGATGTGGGACTAAAGAGTGAGAGAATATTCACGGAATAGTTGGTGGGCGCATCATTGTTCGAGCCCGCAGCATTTGTTTCACTTGTGGACCGGGGCGTGGGCTGGCTAGGGGTCACGGTAGTGTTGATCGTAGCGTCCCCCGGATCTGAAATCTCGCCATCTTCACGTTCACTAGCAGCGGTCGGCTTGACAGTTGGGGCCCTTAATGGAGGAAGAGATTTTGATGCCTGAGGCTTGAGAGGCAAAGTGGGCTGCGATGGAGCTTCATCATAGCTTAATGTTGTGTTTGCCTCGTCTGATGTAAAGGACGCTTCCGGTCTGAAAGTTGAACGCTTCTTGTTTCTGAGGGTTTGGAGAGCTGCCACTCTCAGGGAGTCTATAGGGGACACAGAAACCGCCATAGTAGTTGACCCGCGAGCGTCTGGTGCGGCCATGAGACTCAGAGGGGAATGGTAAAAACCTGAGATTTTGCATCCGGAGTCAGCTGTACACGTTTGTACACAACATCAGGCACACTTTGCAGCAACAGAGCTTGGACCGGCTTTTGCGCTTGGGGTTCGCAATACACGGGTGATGGCGTATATGAAGGAAATCCAGCTTTCCCTGAAGCCTGACCCTCTAGCGCGCAGTAAAGTTGTTTTGACCAGGGATGTGGCTCGAGGAACCATGGTGTATTCATGCCGGCCAATGGCGTCAATCTTACTTCCTGCACAAAAACATACTCGGTGTCATAACTGCTTTCGGATCCCTCCCAGTGGTCATCTCCGAGCTTGTACCGCATGTAAAGAAGAGCTTTACTGTAGTAAAACCTGTCTGTCTTCTGTGGTTTCGAATTTCTAGACTCCCACCCAACAAATGCAATCGATAGGTCAGCATGCAGCATGGCAGAGACACCACCGAAGGCTTTGCAAGAAACTTTCGACTTTCCTGTCAATGGCTCAATTCCAACCTGGAGACCAGAGCGTTCAATCGCAGTCCTTACTGCTGTGCCATCTTCTCCTTGAGCACTTCTCAGATCTCGGAGGAGGCGCCTTACAGCAGGGAATCGAAATTGGAGCTAATGGTGGGACCGTAGAGCATATTTCCGAACGAAACGTATTGCTTTCTTTGCTGCCACATCCTGAACCTCAGCAGTCGCCACCATTGCCTTTGTTCCTCGCCAAGGAGCATTCCCATGAACTAATTCAGGCTCTATCATCCCGCTCGGTGAATAATGACTGGGTTATCTACTCATCCAGTCTCCATCCGATTGGCCATGGAGTGTTCCCCCGCGCAAGCAGATACTTTAATCACTCGTGTTCACCTTCAGCGGTGCAGGTATATACCTTTGACGAGGCTGGACCAATAATGCACATTAAAGCACTCAAAAATCTGAGCGCTGGAGAAGAAGTTGAGAGTTCTATTCATGCTACTCGGGCGATGATGCGCTCAGACCCACTTATCATTCTCAGATTACCGTCACCTACATTGACCCTGCTCATCCGTATGATGTACGGAAAAAAGCGCTCGATTCAACATACGGATTTGAATGCCATTGTCGCAAATGCCAATCTGACAAAGAGTTGCTACCTTCAATCTCAGTTCCCCCTAGTTCAGATGCGATTGTTTCCCTGTATCCCACCCTCATTCGGCATGTCATTCCATCTCTGGAACTCACTGGCACCTCGGAAGCACTCCCAGAAGTAGATCCAATTCTTCCACCACACTTGCTCACGTTACTGAGCCCAAGCCATCTTCCCTACCTCAGTGAGGCTTTCAGTAAAGCAGCACATTCTGAGACTCCGAAAGAGGAAACTCATGGCCTTGGTTTGGCGCTTCTGGCGATGTATTTCGTCATATATCCTCCATACTATCCATTAATAGGTAGGTCATTTGCCTTATCCATCAGTCACCGATTCACGTGCTCATTGACGCCAATGAGGCTTGCATTGTCTTGAGCTCTCTAAGGTAGGATGCGACACAGTTACTGCAGCGAACGGAGAACAACAGCTCAATGTTTGCGTATTTAGGTTTCCTGGAATATGTATCTTTCCGGTACAACAGCCAGTTCGTTTCCAGACCCCGAGCAAGCCGCTCTCCGATGCGCAAAGCTCTATTTGGGATGGGCAAGGGATGTTCTTAAAAATTTTGGGTCCATAGGCGATGTGATGCAAGGGGCGATGGTTACCGATTGGAAAGCAGAATTTAACCAATTAGATGCACTAACCAAGAAAGAAATGGAGCCATAATTCGCGCCACCCCATTCCACCTTGCCCATCAACCACTTTGAACCAACAGCATCGTTCATCGCTTCATTCCCTGACGTTAACGCCACTCGCATGCGTTGAATATGTACATGTTCTCCTGCTTAGCCTAGGAATACATTCTCAAGTTCACCCAAAATATCGACATAATTATACCACAGCGCAGAACAGCATGTTGTAACAAACAGTAAGGAAAGACAAAGTTACAATTTCATGATCCTCACGATACGATGGATCAGGCTTTAGCATGAAAGGGAGTGAACAGCAATAAACCCAAATGAAGACTTGAAGAGTGGGGTGCTTAATCGTCGTTGGAATATGGCCCAGCCAGGTCCACTTCTTCCACACTTTCTTCTTCGTCCTCCTCTTCCACTTGACCAACCGGCGATGGTTTCGCCTGATGCGAATTCGTAGAAAGAGGGAGAGCCACCATGCTTGGAGTGTCAGCCACCCTTGGATACACGGGTATTCCACCGGGAAGTGTGAGAGGTTCGCTCTCATCTTCCTCTGGTGCCAGTTCCGGTCGGGTCGTTAAGATGGGTGATACGTCAATTTGACGCACCGTATCTTTACGCCTGGGTGACCTCCTGGCAGCCGAAGAAGGGGAACTATGAGGCAGGGTAACCGAAACAGTGGGAGATCCGTGGCTGAAAGAACTGCCTGGCGAGTGTGAAGTGGTTGGAGGAGAGGTGGAAGTTAGGAGAGGAAGAGCGGATGCACTTTCCATTGTGGATGTAGACTTGGCATGGTCTTCAGTAGTAATACCTCTCGTAGTATCGATCAAGGGAAGATTAGCACCAATACCGTCCATCTCATCTACAACGACGTCTTCTGGTCCTTCGTCTATCTGGTTTAGCTGTCCACGGTGCACGCCCTCGATGATATCATAGCCATCTTCGTCACCTTCATCGCCATCTTCATCCTCGTCCTCTTCACCAAATTCATCCTCCGTGTTCGGCAGTTGTAAGGGGATGTTGAGCGTGTCCGATCCCCACGTGTTCCTGTCCGCATTAAGAGTCTGCTCCAGCGATTCGGATGACAGGAACATCGTGTCAGTTCGTGTCAATCTGCCACCCATATCCCCAGAATTGGAAGGTGATTGAAGGCGATCGTCGGACGACATTGAGTGTGAAGACGACGAATGATAAGTAACGACGATGTTGCGGTCAAAGTCGGTGTCTATTTCTTTTGTTATGGATGTGGGTGGGTTTGGAGAGGGAAGATGAGCCGATTTGGGTGGAACTAGAAATTCAACTGGTACAAGGTCGAACTTCCGGCAAAGTTCGTGGAACCTTGAGCATAACGAGGTCTCAGCCTGCATGGGCAACATAATCAGAGCCAAACACACTACCAAACCATCATCGATACGCCTACCTCACATTGCTCGAACGCCTCACGATGATGGAAGTAAGCATGGGCAAATATCCGCGATAGCCGGCGGGCAAGGGAAAGGAAATGCTTGCGAGAAGGATTGGGTATTGATATCCTATCATAATGGAATGAATTTGCAATGCTCAATTCTGTTGTGGAGCTAAAATCCTACCGTGAAGGGAAAGCGCGAGGCGAGTTCAACAGCGCAGTTGCGCTGTCAAGCGTATGTACGATATAATCTATAGCACAGCATTGCTGAGAAGCCGTCATTAACGACAGTGAATCAGGCTTTCAGTCAGGGTTGTCTGCTTCGTTGGTATTTGACCCTATAACTCACTTCCACTGGAGTGCCGCCACTATGAGCAACACATAGATACATCCACTCGTCTGCCTTCATCTCTGGACATGTGGATCGATTACATTCTTGTTGAAGCGTGGAGACAAGAGGATGGGACAAATCCTGCGCAACTCGTCTGCAGACGAAATGAAGAGCATTCCTCCATGTTCAAGAAGAGCACGCAATCCACACACCTCAATTGCTCATAAATCCAGCATTGCTCATCGGCAGCCCTGTCCTCATCCCCACTTAAGGCATCCTCGGCACTGTCACCGCCAGAAACCTTCCCCTCCACGGGCTGCTCACTCACACCAACGCTAGCATCTGTCGTATCCTCATCAATCCCCCTCTCCAGCGGATCAACACAGACATTCGACGCGCCGGATGTCGATGGGATGGTGATAATCTTCTTCACATCATGAGCATCGTGTCGGATGAGTAATGAGATGTACTCCTGAATCTGAAATGCCGAGTCTAGACTTGAGATAGACGGTATCTCGGAAGGGGATTGCAATGTCTCCTAGTGATAAATGGGATAGCGAAGGGGGAAATCCTCAATCAACGTGTCTCAACGTGAACACCCAGTTGTCCACTCCTAGGTGTCATACATTTGGCTCAAATTTTACACACCTGAGCACCACTACCTCTGTATATCCTTCCGAACGTGACTTCAGCCATCCGTGGACGAAGCCTTGGTGCCTCGTGCTTTATGTGCTCAGGGTGGGATGTGTGACAACGCGCCAGGAATTGGGCTTTTTCAGAGGATATCTGTGGTTCAGTCTGAATCTGAATCCGATTCCCACTCTCACGTGCATTAGCCCTGAAAATTACCTCCCTTAATCAAACTCCCCTAGTTGATGGTTTCGGTGAATCCGCACCAATATTGCTGGATCGAGATAGACTCGGCGTAGCGAGCTTTCAGAACGATACTGGTTTGTGTGGATGAAGGACGGGAGAGTTCACAGAATTCGACTGATTTTAACACCAAAGAAAAAACAGCACAGAGGAGGATTCGACCGTACGTATGTACCGGGTCGCTTTCTATTCAAGAAGTCTCGGCGGTCGTCGGGGCTGTTGCCACGCTACCTCTGTGCACACCCATTTTACGGTAACGCACGTCTAAATATGCTCCTCAAACGTGGCGTACTAGTGAAAACATGGCAGTCACTTTGTCGGCTTGCGTGTAATTTGATCACAAAACTGCAATTGAAGTGCTCCAAGCGTTGACACGGTTGGAAGATAAGAGCAGTACTTCCACAGACTATATGCACCTAGAAACTTGCATTATAGTAATACGAAGCATAAGCGGTACAAGCAACCACATGGGCAAGTACATATAGCGAACTTCGTCTCAAGAATAAAACGACAAAATAAATGAAGGAATTTTTTAGATAGCTGTTTGGCAGAAGGATCAGGGTATAAACGACCAAGAGAGAACACTTTCCACATGGACCAATTAAGATAATTTGGGTGCCTCAACAAATATTTAGTTAGTGACCTATATCAAAGTTATCCCGGTCAGAGGCCACGCATCTTTGAATCATCAGAAGTAGCAAGGTCACCTTTAACACACGATGCCCTTCCTCAAGATAATCATCCTGCAAAGATCCCCTGCCATTTTCTGCATCGTGTTCGGTATATTGTGGCGCGCCTTGTCCACCACCATCATCATACTCCTCAACCCCCCCGTAAGCATCGTCATAGTCTTGATCATGCTGACCATGCGACCCAGGTGCCCCAGACATGGGGTCCATAGGGGGACTAAGCTGCCGAGACTGCGCATTGTATACGCCAGGCTGGGGCCGTGTAGCTGCAAAGGGATCATAGGCGGCTGGTTGAGGGGGCGAACTTGGTCGGGGAGCGCCATACTGGCCACCATTGCCACTGCTCTCATTACTGAGCGTCTGGTATGGGTTTTGATACTGCTCCCCTTGAGGGGCCGCTGCATATCCCCCAGTCTGGGGCGCTTTGTTGTTCCATCGATCACCAGCAGCCGCACCTCTTGCTCCAACGCCAGCAAAACCCGCTGACACCGCAGTCCCCTGACTGAGTCGTCTGGCTGTCATAGGATAAGCATTCTCACTGTAAGGGTCATATGTAGTGTTGTTATATCCCATTGGCATCGGGGGTTGACCGTATGCGCCGTGTGTACCAGAAGAAGGTGGGTAGTGATCATCCCAATCCATCTCGTCTATTGCAGCGTTGTTCCGACCTGCTTGAATATTGGCTTCAAACGCCGCGGCTGGAAGGGACATCAGTCCATCCGAGTGAAGTAATCTGACGGACTTCCAAAGGCGGCCATACCTGCAATTTCTTTGTCCAACTCTCTAGCCCTCTTTTTCTTGATCATTAGGACGATGAATCCCACGATAAGGCCAAGGCCAACAAGCCCGACACCGGCTTAATAAAGGATTAGGATCCAAACGAGATTGATGCAAAGCTAACACCGATGGGTACTTACTGAATACGCCCGCCACGGCTCCGGTATTAGAGAAGAAACCACTGGAACAAATCAGCAACATTAACGATCAGGCATAGCAAGATGAAACACTCACGATGACACATGAGTGGAGGTTTGGGTCGAGGTCAATGTAGCTGCAGTGGTAGTGCTACCCGAAGGCGGTACAACAATGGTCACAGTTGAGACACTCCGGGTACTGGTTGGTGTGGTCGAGGTGGTGGTGGTGGTAGTTGACGTACTGGTCGTCGAGGCAGTGGTAGAAGTACTACGACTCGTTGAGCTGGTCATTGTGATTCCCGCATTAGAAATATTTGAGACGAGAAAAATTAGGGACCTACGTAGAAGTACTAGTAGTAGTGGAGATCGATGTGGACGATGAAGTACTACTTGTTGATGTGGTCGTCTGCTGGACAGGCGAAGTAGGTGCAGCCGACGAAACTGATGGAGTTGATGGAGAGGGGGTCGATAAAGTCGTACTCGTCGTAGAGTGACTGGTAGGTGTTCTACGCCGCTTCCGGTGAGACCGACTGATTCCTGTTGTAATGGCTAAACTCACAGACTTGGGGTGGCTGTAAGCGCCTCATTTAGCGAGCAAATCAAGCTCAACAGGCGCAGGGACTCACAACTCATGGTGGGACAAGTATATAAAGGAGCGTTTTGAGCCCGCTAGGGCGCAATAAGGAAGAAAAGGCTAGTGGTGAAGAAATGGAGGTATTGCACGCGTGATCGCCAGGAATAATATTAATGTTCAACAATACATAAATATTGATTAAGGAATCAGCGGATGTAGCCAGAATGATGCGGTTGGCTCCGGAGGCATCACATCCCGTTTCCTTTCCATACTGGGTACCTTGGCTATACTGTGACAACGATGGCCGACTCCGCCCCTATCCCGTCTGCGAAGTCCAGGCATCTTCGCGCGTGTTTGCTGTGCTCGATCGTCATGTCTGCACAGGACTTTAAACGCGAAGGCTGTCCAAACTGTGAAGAGCTTGTACAGGTAAATAAAGACATTGGCTTCATCGAGCGTGTTGGTGGCGGCCCAATATGAGCTTTACTTTATTCTTTGTTAATAGATGTATCAGAACCCAGACCGGATATCTCGCAACACTAGCGCCCAGTTCGACGGGATCATTGCGCTGACGAATCCGGGGGATAGTTGGGTCGGGCGGTGGCAACGAGTGGGTAAGTTTGTGTCCTGACAAAGGATAAGTTTTCGTATTCGTTCGAGAACCCACATCCAACCTTGCTTTAGGCGGCTATGTGAAGGGATTGTACGCCGTTCGCGTGACAGGTCGGATCTCGCAAGAGTTGCAAGGCGAGCTAGATTCCAGACGGATCACATATCGGCCCCGAGATACAATGCAGGACTTATGAGACACCCCAGATTACATGGCTTATTCTCCTCTTTATGCACAATGCTGACCCCCCAACTTTCTGCATCCCTTGCATGTAACTACTGACCATCTTGCCACCTCAATGGATGATCTCTCTATTCATCACCCTTATGAGACTGCAGCGCTTGCAGCCTGACGCAATTCTCGGCGTACCTCGACTAGGGGTATATCGTCATCCAACGAAGAGCACCTTGTTATGTTCCTCAATTTTGGTCGTATAGCTTTCCAAATCAGTTTTCGACGACGATCTCCTGTCAGCAGTCAATTATCTCGCCCCTTGCCGCTCAAACCATTTCACATACTTTGATCAGACATCGGTTCACGGATTCATCGAGTTCGGTCTCACCCAATAGATCGAGAATCGCCGACTTAGTTGCTAAACAGGGTCTAGTCTTCTGACGGACGTCGCGAGATATATACAATTGGAACACAAAATGGAACTAGTCAGGTCCAGAGATCTACCAGACAAAACCGGCACAACATCGTCGAGTTCCATATATAGTTGATGTCCATTCTCCTGCCCAACCCAGCACACATATAAAACCTAATGAAAGTCGCGTTCGTCATACCGCGGTATGTATCAGTGCGAATTCTTCTCGATCTTGAATGGGTGCCCCGGATACACCCCGCACGTAACTTGAATTGAGTAGTACTTATGCGCCACAACAGGATTCCCCTGTGTGAACGACTTGTATCCCAAAAGCCCGCAACCTCCCTGAGGAGTTGTTCCCTCCACGTCGGTGCTTCCGTACCAATATAACCCATCTACCAAACCTACACCTGGATCGTTCCTGATTAGCCATCGGAACGAATACGGTATGTCACTCGATGGAACCGGACGAGAACTCGGACAAGTGGCAAGCGTGGTGTAGTATGGACCCGTGGGCGATTGTTGATTTGAAATCTCGACGCATTGATTTTTGGAAGGGACATAAAGTCTTCCAAAGGTATCGATTTTGTCCGTGCCAGAGGTGTCCACGAGAGATTTACATTTCTGAAATTGGACGTAGAGTGGATTCTTCCCGTCACCTTTGTAGGCGAGGGAGTTGAATTGGTTGAGAGTGAAAGACTTTGGTTTCCCTGTGTGCACATTGAGCTATGAAGACACAGATGCCGGAAATCACTGAATTGACGTACCGAGAACGGTAGCACTGAGGTACCCCTCCTTATAGACAGTACAATCCGCAACAGGTTTCGGCTTCGGGTGCGGATTCTGCGCAATCCTGAATGGCGTCCCGGGATATCCACCGCACGTCACTTTAATCTGCTTACCTTTATCATTCGTCACTGATGGAACACCCGAAGGGTATTGACTTGGATCGGATTCATATCCAAGCAAGCCACACCCTCCTTGAGGTGTAGTGCCTTCCTCGTCGGTTCCCCCATACCAATAGAGGCCCCCATGGGCATCCTGAGACGTACGGATGAGGAAACGGAATGAGTCGATGATAGGTGAATCGCACGAGTGGAGCGAAGTGAAGTAAGGCCCCGTAGGATGTTCGGGATGCAGGATGTAAACGCATTTCTTCTTGGAAGGGACATAGAGACGACCATTGACGTCGACTTTGTCAGCTCCCGTTTGATCCTTTAAGCTGTCGCATTTCTGACCACCCGAAGGATAAATTGTACTCAGCCGGAGGCCCCCGGAACCGAACGAAAAAGTGACGAACCTGGAACTCGACATAGAGCGGGCTCTTAGCATCGCCAATAAATGATATTTGGTTCATTGAGTTCAGCGTGAACGAGGCCCACGTTCCTACAATAAGGTGCGAGAGATGAGCCGAAAGCGATTGAAGATTTGATCAACTTCTAAAAATGACATGGAAAACGCGCTCACCACCAATGTCAGCCGCAAGGTATCCGGCCTTGTACTTCACGCAATCCGGCGGCTTACGCGCATCAAGCTCGGTGACCCCAACAACGGCACCAAACACCGTTGTAAGGGATGAGACAGCCGCTGCTAGAAACAAAGTTGCAGAATGCGATGCTATCATCTTGCACGATTTGGCACGATGAGTTTGCCTTGAACTGGTAGCAAGCACGGGTCTGGGGGATAGAGAGAAGATTTCCTAGGGGAATCTGCCAAACTTCCCTGCAGTGGATGCAGGAATTCGAAGTTTATATATGCCAAGATCATATGAACACTCAGGAGACAACGCGGAGACAACGCGGGAAACGTGGGGCAATTGAGGTATCTATGGCGGTGCTCGTGCAGTGTCAGGGGATACGTAAACATTGACACATTTTGTTTAAATGCGGCACACGTCAGGACTGCCAAGCCCCTCAAAGGCACAAATTCGAAATGTTGACACCGCCCCGTTCTTGAGCGAGTTCTAAAAATAATAGCGATCGAACATGACTCAGTCCGAGACAGCAAGGTTTTGACGGGGCGAAAGGGGACTCTGTTACACTACGGCATCTTAGCGAGGGGAACTATTGAACAGGTGTTGTAAAAGAGTGGGAACGCGCACGTCGTTGTTCACTCTGCAAACTATAACGAGCACCAAGGGAGGGGGTCGGGGTAAATACGCGAAAATAAAAGTGAAAAATAAACTGGACCATTAGTTCATTCCCACGGCCTCCGGGAGTTGCCGGAGGTGTCGAATCAATTCAATCATGTTCATTTCCAATTCAATCCAAAATCTTCATGCGACATGCGACGAACTTATGGTCGTTATAGGACAGTAAGCCCGATTTGGGTATGCGTCCAAGAAATACGCCAAACACTGCTCCACTCTTTCAAGTCGTCACGTATGGGTGGAACGCGTAGGTTCCCCTTCTTTGATCATCTGAAATTACTGGTGCCAGATTAACTCAGGCCATTTCGTTGTGTCGACCTTGTATCCCAATTATGTGAACCTCGTGGGACATCGCTTTTCAAAGTTAAAAAACTCGACCCTCCAAGAAACAAAGCGCACTCCATACCAAGATCTTTGAATGACGACCTGATGTTCTGGAAGTCTTCCAGTCTTCCATGCCTGGTGAAAATGCACACAGAAAGACGTGCACGTATTGCCTTTTTTTCTCTTGGTAAACGTTAGCCTGAGCTCGTAACGAGTCCGATCGATACAAACTACTTAAACAAATGATATTTGCTAGCAGTTTTACCAAATTTCTTTTTCATTCGTGCCGGGGGCCGCCTCATAAAATGAGTAGGGTAAACAACAAGATAAGAAGCCAGAACGCTCAGGCTGAACCCCAGTTAAGGTTCGTAGTGGGCGTTTAAGTGTGCCTTGTTGTGATCTGATAAAAATAACCAAGCAACCAGAAGTACATGTAAACTTTGGACCGTAATATTCGAGAAATATTGAGTTGAGACCAAGTGAGATTTCGGCATCCGATGTGGCAGACTCTTGGCAAGAAATACGTAAATTGAGTGTTGAAGTGACTTTACATTTGCTTCACACCCGCGGCCCCAGGCGAGAAAGATGCGGGAAGACATCTCGAGTGTGCTAGTCCATGCGCTGCGAACAGAAGTTTGAGCGGTCCAGCACAACGTCGTGACTATTCTGCTACTGCAACTTTTTGATCCAGGGAAACACGATGACCACCAATCCGTGCGACAAATACTGCTGGTCACACAAATATGGGCGGTGTGCCGCGCGGGCACACGGCCTGACCGCCATCAAGTTTGTACTCGGAGTCGGGATTTCGAAAGAGGGTATCACGGATTCAACATGAAGCCCAAGTTTGCTTCGGTAAGGGATTTAGGCAACTGGTTGCAGAAAGATAGCGCTACTTGACTGCTGGAACGTCGAGTGCCCCCGGAGCCTGTGGGATCGTGTTGGCGTATTCTGCACTTGTGTGTACGAGCAGTATCTGAAATGGAGAGATTGTGTAATGGCGCCAAAGCTGACTCTATCGCGATGGGCTGCGGTCATATGCGGTGGCAGCCCGCAATTGGTGGCCATCGCTAACAGGAAATGTCTCCGATCAATGATGTCAGAAGGTGGGGGTCTCATCTATTCTTGCTCGATGAACAAGTTGCGGGACAGACACATCTGCCGAGCTGGGCGTTTCTGATCGAGAAGTTAGCGATACCAATGCTGAAGATCGCGCCTCGAAAGACACACTCCCCCACACCCGCATGATTCCATGCGTTTGTCGGCATCCCTGTGCCTCAAAATGCAGCGGAGAACCTCTCTGCCTTGATGCTGCAACCCGCAGATGCAATCATTCCTCCGTCACTTCGAAAGGCAAGGTCCGGGTACATCGAGAACTGTGCCTATACGCACGTAGTAGGGCGCGCAACAAAAGGCTGCCCTCCAACAGAAACTCATTCGGAGTGATGGGGCGGGAAACGTTCTATCCTTGCTCGATGAACAACTTGCAAGACAGGTTGTTCACGTACGGCCCATCGACCTGAGAAAATTCCGATGCTGTGATGTGGGCCTGTAACAGTTTTGAGGAGTGCTATCAATTGATTGACGTTCATAGCACTGTCAGCTATATACGCATGCACACATTGCCTTCGAGTATGTTCTCGAACGCAGTCGTCTTCCTCAGCCCGTGAGCAGAGATCTTTTCCGTCAGAAACTACCCGGGCCTCATTCTCCAGCGCGCTAGTATATAATAAGCCTTCGCGTCCATATCAATAGGATCCTTGCACTCCGAAGACATATTAAGCTAGGTCTTGCTGAGTTGTTTCGACCTTGTATCCCTCATGGAACATCGCTTTCCAGAGTTAAAAAAAAACTTAGCCCTGCAAGAGACGGGGTTCGCGCACGTTGAACCAGCTCCATCGCGAGGTGGAATCCGTGTCGGAATCCAGCTTGAACTGTGACGCGATATGGTATACTGGAAGTTCTCCAGTATGCCATGCGGAATGACCTGCTTAGGGGGTGAATGAAGACCATGTTAATTTTTTTTTCTTGGGTGAACGCTAGCTTTAATTTCCAAAGAGCCCGGTCATCATCGAATTACACAAACGGACTGGCGGTTTCACCATATTGTCCTTCGCGCACTTGTTGAACGAGATTCCGAGGATCATTAGTGCCGGATGCGGTAGGGTCTCAGCATGCAGAAACGAAGCCGGTGCTCCAGGTGAGAACGACGATTCAATCGTAGCAAGGATGTTAGTTTTAAATGCTGCGAAGAGAAGTTTGCGCCGTGGGGATCCCGATCCCGGAACTTTGGGTGATCCAGGTAGGGCTCAGGTTCTGGCGCACAACATGGGTGTATCTGGATGACGTATGACCAAATATATAGTAGTCAAACAGGCAACGAATGAGTACATGAAACCTTCAGCACGTCGTTCGGTACATCGCCTAGAGCGGGGCAATGACGTGGCCAGCATTTGCGAGATCCTTATGTAACGTAGACATCGCAAATGACAAGAATGCGTACTGACTGAGGCAGATGGCACGGCATTCAAGAAGTGTAGGCTGCAGGCTCCTCAATGCTCTCGCCTTGGAGAAGGCGGTTTGTAACCGTTGCACGGCAACGGCGTAACACTTGAGATTTCTTTATGCCACCATTTCCCTATCATTTTTGAGGTTTTGCCGTATTCTTGCATGGAAACGCAATGGACACAAATCCGTGCGACAAATACTGCCAGCCATACAGATGAGAGCCAATGAGATTCAGGCACACAACCTTCAAGTTTACACTCGAAATTGGGATGTGAAAAGCGAACGTCAGAAGTTCAGCATGGAACTCAGTAAGGGAATTAGGCAGCAGATGATAAAATTGTCTTTTAACTGCACTCAAGAAGAACTGAGGGAGGATGCCGATGCTTTGTTTGTCACAGCATTCAACAACTCAAACAAACAAATAAACACACAGCCCATCCTCGCACAGTAGTTCCCAACTTGAAATCAACGCTACTTGATTCCTGCAACGTCTGTGTTGTGGCGTATCATCCTTCCCAATCAAAGGGCCGTTCTGCTATTTTCCTGTTCTCCTCGCTTCTCCAAGCCGTGTGACTCTCGAAAGTGAGGCCGCACTCCCTGGACCACGTATCCGACGCAGAGCCTAACAAAACAGGTTGTCACTAGTTTAATCTCTGAACAGAACAGCATGCCAAAGAACCGCTGCAAGATCTGTAGAGGTGCTGTTTGTGGCTTCAGGTCGCGAGACAAGGTAGAGGACGTAGCCAATTACCCGCCCTGGCATGACTGACGATATGGGTTTCAGGATTGCTTTTCACCAGGCTCTCCGATGTCAGTTGACCCTATGTTTAACGTGTCCTACGAAAGGCAACAGGCCCAGGACCGGGAAACCATACGGTCAACCATCACTGGGGGGACTCCGCCCGTTGCCCAACATCAAGGTGGATCCCAGAGCCGTGGTGCAGCACCAAATGGGTCTCAGGTGTCTGACTCCACAAGGTATGGAGGGATGCCACTCCCATATGCCGCTGGCACGGATGGATACCCAACTGGCCCAACGGCCGTGCCCGCTTCTGGGGGGCCTGCACCACCCCACCTTCCCTGGTCCCTGGTAGGGCCCACCCGCAATGCCGCCATCCCTCATACTCAGCTGGGACTGGTAGCATTTACTTTGGAGGACGGATGGGTGCATAATTCCATCGAATCCCCAGCTCGTCCAATCTCTGTGGGAACTCGTTTTGCTCGTGTGTAGCTTCTATTGAACTGATGAGCAATTGCGTTGGTCAGGTTATCGAGCTGGCTCCGGCCATCAGTGGTCGGGGACATAACCCGTTTGGTGCCATAGGCACACATCTCCCCAGGGGGCAAGCACCGGCACGTCAGGGCTAGGCCATCAATCACTGAACAGGAGCGCCTTCTTTCCCGACCAGCGATACTCCTGTGCTAAGCTGCCACACATACGCCAATGTGCATTCTCCTGTATCCCGCTGTCCCTTCAGTTTGTAGTATCCTTGAGGATGCGTCGCTCACGGGTCCCCATCCGGCGAGCTCATCATTGTAATCTGTGCTCCTATGTTTGTATGAAAACTTACCTGCCTGTCCAATACCATTTTTTGTTTGCCCATCATCTGTGCGTTGGACACTTGCACCAGCAATGAGTTGCACCTGGTTGTTGTGAGAGAGTCAGGACATCTTTCCGTTCTTCCCGACTCTGGATCATGTAGGAATTTGCATCAACCGGTGCCTCCCGATGGGTAGTTCTCGCGCTATTTTCATTTCGGATATTCGTCAACACGGGGGCTCTCGCGTGTCTTGGTTCTTGCGTTAGCCTAAGTCTGGCTATCACAGATCGCCCTGGGGTTTCGGCCGGGGTGTCCGCAATTGTAAGATACATCAAGATCGCTTTTATGGATATGAGCTCTGTAATTGGATTCATCCATGAGGTGATCAAAGGTACCTCGCGCGCTCCCAGCCCTTTCTGTTCACCCACTATTCAACGCATACAAGTGACACCCCCATGTGATTACCGGCTTCTCGATGTCACAACTCGATCCTGCATCACCAATCCCGCGGTGAGCCATTCTTCTTGTCCTCTATCAATGCCATGGGTACAGTCTCGCGCCAGCGATTACGCTAGCGTTGACTTGATGACTCTGCTTTGCAGTTTGACTCCGTGCATCTTGAAGGACACTTACATTGGCAAAAAGCGGATATCAGAGTTTCAGCATGAAGGGACTTGGGCAACTAATTGTGGAGATGTTCCTTGACTACTGCAATTCGTCATGACCCCTGCATCCCCGGAGCTTGTTGGATCGTACATCACCCTTCCCAATTGTAGGGCCATTCCGCTCTTTTCATCCTTCTTTTCTGTTCTCCGTGGTTGTGTCACACGCCAGGCCAGGCCAACCATTGAACAAGAGCGCCTTCTTTCCACGACCAACGATACTCAGATATTAGTCATCATGCATGCCACTGTTGCGGATGTCCTACCTAGTCCCCTTCCAGCTTTTATGAGGATAGATTGTTCACGCGGGGCCTCCGGCTAGCTCATCAATGTAATTTGTGTTTCCGTGCTCGTATGCACCGAAAAATTTGCCTGTCTACCCAAATGATTTTCGTTTGCTCGTCATCTGTGTGCTGGAGACTTACGCCGACGATGAGACGTTGCGTCTGGTTGTTGCAAGAGAGTAAAGACATCCTTCCGTTCTTACTGTGATGGATCATGTATCATCCGAAGCTACCGATGCCTCCCGATGGGTTGGATGGGTCGGGCTATCGCGTTTGTCGACACGGGAATTCTCGTGTGCGTTGTAGACATCACAGGTCACCCTGCGGTTTTGGGGTTTTTTGTTACTGAAATCGGCTCGGCGCCGCCTGCTTTCTCCTCACTCTAAAACTTCAGGAATGCCAAGAATGCTGGTGCGATTGACTCGAAGTTGGTGGACGGGACTCAGCCTAACGCATGAACAAGCAGCTAACCAACTTGTATTTCATGCCGGCGTCCGTAGGGGAATGCGTATCGGTGAAACCGTTCCCTCAGCTCCCACTGCCCAGGATGCAGCAGTGGGGGGTTATCGGATACAAGTCAGCGGACGGGGGCATGTTGGGGTCCGAACATCTCAGGATTTTCTATGCGAGGCGAAGACTCGATCTTTGGACAATCTATTCTATATTCTATAACTAGTTACGGGGCACCTACCAGAAGTACATCGGACTTGGAGAGATTGTTGGGAGCCTTGGATGACGGCTATATATCTTGAGATTGACATTGCAGCTATGGAGGGGTAGGTCCGGCATATGAAGTTGAAGTGCATATCGTAACGACTCAATCTACAGTGATGCATCTAGCCAATGCACCAATATGGGTACCATTGTGGCACGATCGTTGGGGCCTGGGAGCCAGCAATGCCAGTAACTTCGCTCTTCGGGGTGGACGGCTCACTGGGGCGAGTTAGTGATATAAGGTGGAGTTGTGACATCGGGAAATCTAAAAGGGCTGTCCGTTAATAGACAATGGGGGAAAAGGACTTGGGACTATGTCGGTTCACAGATAAGCAATACTTACTCAATCTCAGTAGTCACATATGGGGGCCAGTCGAATACGTCGTGCATGATATTGGATAGACAAAGCCGGTAGGTGAAATCGTAGCTATCTCGCAGATATCGTGAGTTCAAAAGCAAACCCCATCCGCATATACGTGACACAACTGATCTCGCGGAAACGTAGCGACAGCCCAGGAGACGACTAACGTCGTCAGCGCTCGTTCTATGTCAAAGTCATTCACCCCGCACGTGGTAAGCTTTTGCAACCAAAGGACACGCCCCCTGGTTCCACATGACACCACCTCGAAAAGAGAGGGTAAACGTCTAGCGAGATCAGATAACTCCTACCAGGCTACAATTGTTATGAGGGTTCCCCTCAAACTGGATGGCCGAGCTTGCAGCGCCCTCGGCACTGCGCTGCAAGCTTGGCCATCCAGTTTGGGAGGAACCCTCTAACAAACCGTACTGCAATTTCAAATTAAATATGCTATCTTCATTTGTATGCGAAGTGTTTAGTTCAGGCAATGGTCTATTTGATTGCAGTAAATAAACTCCATACTGTTGGAATAACCATCAGGGATGGAGTAACCTCCCTGGCATAATGGGTGAGTAGTGTATGGATGCATGCTAGAGGTCCTGGGTTCAATTGTCCATTTTATGTCATTCGTCCAGTCACCCGATTTACATTAGTTGAATTCATGACATAAGTCTATAGTGCTAGCAACATGAATTTCTTCACATACCCAATCCAAGAATCTGAGCCATATCCATGCATTCAGTGTCAGGGATCACTTGTCAGTCCAAGTCAAGTATCACCCAAAAACCTAGTCATAGACAAAGCTGAGGTTCCAACCCTCAGCAACACATAGGGCTATTGTCAGGGCGTGGGAAAACATTACCGTGACTTGCCGTTGGCGACCGTCAAGGTCTGCTGCTCCGGTGTAACAGCCCGTCAAGGGCAGGGATGACAATCGTGGCAAAACGGGGTTTCGGCTTCAACGACTCGTTCGTGAGCGTTGCGCCTCGTACTTGACATGGCCCCAATATTTCAGAAGGCAGAAGGTGCGACTGAGTCAGACAGAGAGTGCAGGGGGTAACCCTAGTTGATTTTTGAACTAAAGTATGAGGTAGTATACAACCGGTATTTAAGTATAATGGAATGAATAGAATTAAGTCGCCAGATCTCATGGAGATTGCGGGCGGGCTTAAGAAGGAACGAAAACAAACAAAGAGTGTGGGAGAAGGACAGCCATGCACAGCCATCAAGAAAAACAAGTGTGATAAGGAATGACTCATAGGCCCGTGGCAGGCTGTGGAAACAGGTAGCAGTGATGGGGAAGGGTGATGGGCTTGTTCAGGCAGCATCGGGCGGGTGGCAGAGTTGACGGGGTCGAAGTGGAGGAGGGAGAAGGTGTGGGGAGTAATCACCTGACCGTGGGAATTGCCGAGTCGTGACAGCTATATACATGAGAGATATGAATCAATTGGAAGAAAAAGGATCAACAGAACTAAATGATGGGTGTCATATCCATGCATACCCGACCCTGACCCGACTTCCGGACCTCCACCCTCTTCACCTCCAGAGTCATAACCTACCGCTGCCGTTCCGATACTCACCTTCGGTCCTGGCAACACACCTCCTTCCTACCCCCCCCACGCCACCTCTACTCCTCCTTACCTCTCCGACCCTATCTCCGTCCGCTCCGATACTCACCTCGGACCGAACACCGCCCCTCTCGCCACCCTCCTACTACTCCTCCTCCTCCTACTCCGCTCCCCCTTCACAACACCTCCACCCTCCCGTCATCCTCCTACGCTTTCCCCATCCGCTCCGATACTCACCTTCAGACCTGACAACCCTCCTCTCCACCACTCCTTCCCCCTTACCTTTCCCCTCTCTCCTCCCTCTGGTACTCCTCTGCCACCCTTCCGCCAAGTTACGACCTTCCGCCGTTGTCCCATACTTCCTACTCGGACACCGCTCATACCTTCGCTCCGAGCCTCCATCATAGTCCCGACCTCGGACTTTGACTCCACCTCGGTCTTAGTCCATTGCATTGGTGACCTCATACTACGTAAACACCATTGCCAATATCCCTTGGACTTTCAACCCCGCCTCCATAACCCCCATAAGCTCCGCAACCCCCGAGCTTCGCAGATCGCCTTCAGCACTTTCGCCGCTTGTAATGTATCTCTCGCGTTTACCCCTCATCCCTATTTGGACTACTGCTTCTTCCCATTCTAGCCAGTTAGTCATCATCCCCACTTCTCCTCATCCTCCTGCCCCTCTGGGCCTCGCCCTCCCTACCTCCTTTCGGACGTATCACAGGTCCTGCCTTATGACCTTCGGTACCGCTCCGCTCCTTCTTCCCTTTGTTCCTGTTCGGACGTCTTCGTTCCGATTCGGTTTCCCTTTGTTTTCCTTGTGCTCTTGCCCCCTCCATTATATATATATTGGCGCTTGTACATACTCGTTTTGGTTCAGTCCGAAATCGACCTGAAATGCCCCCTAGAGACTTCCTGCTCACCTACTGTGAAATTAAGGACCAAATGGACAAACAGCAATGGCACAGCGCTCCGCTTGAGTCGCTGAGGCCAAGGTCCCTCCACGCTAAGTCTCTGATTCCACTCCGGAGTCGTCTGTATCAGCCCCGTTCTAACAATGGGGTAGGCAACAAAGTAATAAAAACAGGGAGATACTCAGATCAAGGGGTGGAGTCAGATCAGGGAAAGGGGTGAGAGAGTTATGGGCTGATGCAGCTACATGCGGTGATATATGTAGTCATATGCTATGTCCCTGACATTCAGATTGGCCCACAAAGATATGCCAATATGGGTCTAATCTGCTAGGAGCCCTAGATGTCAGGTAGAGGGAGGGTGCATGGACACTCCTCCACATTAAAGTCTTGGCAGGTGACTGATAAAAATGGAAGCAGGATTGCATATATACATGTTACCCAGGGAAATCAATGTTATTAAGTTGCCATCATAGTGTACCTGATATTAATTAGAGACAGCTAGCCATGTGTTCTGCACTTGCTCACTGTCCTTACTCCACATTGGTCACTGCAGGGGCTGTCCTGCTCTGCTCCATATGGCATTATTAAAGAGATACGTTCCCACCACACCACAGCCCCATACCCAACTTCCCAACTTCCCAACTTCCCAACCCCCCTACTTGACCCAACCCACCAACCCAAACCCCCAACCACCAACCCAACCCATGGGCAATTACTTTCCAGGCATCCATACACACAGCACACACAACACAGCACACAGCACACTCAGCACACAGCACACAGCACACTCAGCACACAGCACACTCAACACTCAGCACTCAGCACTCAACACTCAGCACTCACACTCACACCACACACCACACAGCACACCACACTCACACACTGCACTCACACACTGCACTCACACACCACATACCACACCGCACTCACACACTGCACTCACACCCCACACAGCACTCGCACACCACACACACACTCAGCACACTCAGCACTTGCACACACACAGCCCTTACCCAAACAAATGCATGCCTTGCAAGTTCAGCCAACAAACCACTGTCTCTGTCATATCTGTACAATCCCGACCTCCACTGTTATAGGAATGACCAGAATCTTAAGGTCCATGGTTACAAGCAAGTAGAACCAGGTATGCCTCCTTATTGTTTTCCCCTATTTCTCTACCCAAACCCCATGCCAAGCTTTCCCACTGGGTTTTGGTGCTGGCTGGGGGAATTGTTGAATTTCAAGGGACTTCCCTTGACCATTACAACTTTTATATTAGATATAAACTAGTCATATGACATGTAAAGGCAAATGCTGAAAGATGTTTTCGGATTATTGAATACATAACCCACAAACCTTGTACCACAATTGTAACATCCTCACCATTGTGCCACCACTGTAAACTCAACCTGTAACCTCGGAACCATGTCCACCTCCCTATTCATCCTCTCCATGACAAAACCGCAACAAGGAGGGCATTCCCATGCCCTGCCTGCTCCCACCAGTCCACCAGGTGGTTGAGCGGTCACTCCCATCCAACCAGATGTTCCCTATCAGGAACTGTAGCCTATCCCACCTCCTTAGGAGAGGGATATGGTCCAGGCAGCTCCAGGATGCCTGGCCATGCACCCACGGGTCCCACTTCCCACGGTCACCCACTACCGTGCACTGGTCCACCAGCCCGCTTTCCCCAACAACTCCCACTACTGGTATGCTCCTGTGAGCGCCAAGTCACCAATAGCCACCAACTGGGTGACTCCCTTTGGGAGTCCCAGTATCCCATGCTACCGGTACACTCCATTGAGCACCAAGTCACTGCTAGCCAACCACTCCCAGCACACCCACTACCGGCATGCTCCCATGAGCGCCAAGTCCCCGTTAGCAGACAGCCAGGTGGCTCCCTCAAGGAGCCCACATCGTGCTCGCTGCTGGTACACTCCCAGGAGCGCCAAGTTACCGTTGGCCAACCCACAGGTTGTACTTCCAGACACTCATCCCATTCTGCTCTCCCTCTGATGGCTATGCAGCCACCTCCATTAGTGAGCTGAATGGTTCAGGTTGGGTTCCCCGGAACCCATTCCTGTAACATCCACTCCAGGCTCCCAGAACTCCGAAACTGACTTCCGGAGTCCTACTTCCCTTCCATCACCTTCTCCTTGCCGACTCCCAAGAGGTTATCCCACCTCCAGCTCCAACACCACCTTCGGTCCAACTCTGGAACATTCCAGGTCTGACCTCAACCTCGACACCTCCCAGATGAGCATGCAACACCTATGCTCCCAACTCTGGACCTCCACTCCGGAATCCCGTTTGTGTCTCCATCTCTGGAACCTCCAGTCTTACTGTAGCTCCAACCTTGGACTTTGACCCCACCTCCGCTTATACCCATTGTATTGGTTAGCTCATTCCATTTAATTACATTTGCCAATATTCCGGAGTTTAACTTCTGAGTTCGGACTTTCCAGACTTACTTCAGACCTGCAACTATTGCATTGCTCCATTCAATTCCGCTATTCTCCCTCATTCCTATTTGGGCTGCTGCTTCCTTTCTATTCAGTCAGCTAGCCATTCCCCACTCCCATCCTCCTTCCTTCCTCCTTGGGCCTTGGCCCTTCACTCCTCCTTTGGGAAACACCATTGAGTCAAACCCTTGACCCTCGGTGTTGTTCTGTCAGGGCATGCCGCCGTCGCCGCTGCTGCCACCCCCTTTCCTTTCGTCTCACCCTCTCTTTCTCTCTCCTTTCCCTCTTCTCTTTTTCTATCTTTATACAGACGATCTCTCTCTTTCTTTCCTACACTTGTAGCACAGACGCACCCGATGCTGGGCACCCTGTAGGGGCACCGCCATGCTGGATGCGCTGCGCACTCCTACTTGTACTTCCCCTCCAACACTCGGGATCGACCGCGGAGCCACCCGCGGTAACCCGGCTTCGTCCGAAGGTGACGTGGCACTTCCACGTGACCCGTTCACACATGTATATAAACTAAGCCGAAGCAGGACCGAAGAAGTAACCTTCTTCTCATTTCCCGCTTCAGGCAAGTACCCTAGTTTAGTCTAGCTTCCCACCCTAATAACGATTCATTTCCCGCTTCAGCCTAAGAAGCCACACAGGGACGTAAGCCCGAGTAAGGGCTATCCACTATACGGTCTCACCGCCCCGCTGCCATCCGGGCCGCTAGCGCTGAGCGTTACGCCGCCGCCTCTCCCTCCCTTGAGCCGTCCCTGACATGTTCCTCCTTCCAGCTCCCTTTGTCTGCTTTTGGAGTACCCTTGCTCCTTTTGATTCCAGACCCCTCCTTATATACAATGTACTTAGTAACTTGTAACCTCAGTCCGAAATCGACTTGATTTCCCCCCAAGAGACTTTCCTTTGCTAGATCCGAAATTAGGGACCCCCAGGACAACCAGCAATGGCACAGCACTCCACCTGAGTTGCTGAGGCTGAGGTCCTTCCACACTAAGTCTCCGATTCCACTCCAGAGTTGTCCGAATCCACCTGATCTATGGGGGCTGTGTAGATATGCTGACATACAAACAATGACATAAGGCAAGGACCTCTGTGTCAGGGCACACCTGCCTGACCCGGCTCCACCTGCCCTGACCCGGTATCCCGCTCACCCCTACCCCCCACCCTTCCTTCAGTTTCCTCAACTCTTGTTCTTCTTTCTATCCCTTTGTTCTTTTATTCCTTCATTCATTCTTCTATCTTTATCTACATGGATGACCTTTCCTCTATCCTATGTATTATTGACCCGCCTGCGACGTGTGCACGACACACCCAGCCCTGGATGACCTGGACGGCCTCGCAGTGCAACTCAGCACGCACGCGTGCAGCACACGCCCTCGGGATCCCCCACAGGGACACCCAGATGACTGCGGCTGTATGCGGGGTGACGTGGCAAACCTCATGTGACCTAAGCCGCATGTACATAAAGGTACCTGGGGTGGGAACCAAAGAAGTAACCTTCTTCTCACAGTTCCCACTTCAGGTAAGTAGCATAGCCCCCCTTTTTAATAACAACTCACAGTTCCCACTTCAGTCTGAGTGGCCAGGGACCATCGTCCTGGACCGGGCTCGCCAGTACGTGTGCCCGCTCCACACCCTGCGACGGCCCCAGTGCTGGGCATTACCCTCAGGCCATCTCAACCCTGGACGCATCCCTGACACTCTGACAAATAAGAAATGACTCGGCTCATGAGAGAGATAAAAAGGAAGTGATAAATGAGAATGAATGGAATAAATGGCAGAGAACTGCAGTACTCTGACAGTCCATCTTGGACAATCATCAGGGATTCCTTATAATACTTGTCAGGGACAGTACAGGAGAGGTGGGGTAAGCAGCCTGGGTGGTGGCGGAGTAACGGGAATGTATGGTGAGTGGCCCTCACTTGTGCTTGCATCCCTGTCTGGCTTCTTAGGCTGAAGCAGCAATGGTTGTTATTAGAATGAAAGGCTAAACTAAACTAAGCTAGACTAAGGTACTTGCCTGAAGCAGTAATGAGAAGAAGGCTACTTCTTCAGTTCTGCTTCGGCTTGGTTTATATACAGGTGGGAACGGGTCACGTGGGGGTGCCACGTCAGCCTGGGCAGAGCCGGGTGATCACAGGTGGCTCCATGGGTAATCCTGAGTGTTAGAGGAGAGAGGTACAAGTGAGGGTGCGTGGCGTATCTGGCGGCACGGTACCCACATGGAGTACTCAGGGTCAGATGCATCCATGCTACACAGGTAAGAGGAGAGGTTGTCCATATACAGAAAGAAAGAAAGAAAGAGAGAGAGAGAGAAGAAAGGGAAAGGAAAGAGGAGGAGCAGGAGGGTGCAGTGTGGAGCGGAGCGGTGTGCCCTGACAATACTCAAGGAGTTGAGCTTAGGGTTTCTTTTCTACTTGGATCTCTCAGCACTACAGTCTCTTTTGTAGTCAAAAGGGAGGTCCTCTTTCCATTCCTATGTGTACAGGGCTTTTAAACACATGGAATGGCAATAATGTGGAAAAACAAATGAAAAGAAAATATAAAACGAAAGATTGTTGTTACAAGCACCATGTAGACAGTTATGTATGGCTGATAAGTCCAACGGTTGATGTGGAAGTTCAATAAAAGAAAACAGGAGTGATAAGTGGGCCATATCTGCTAATAATTGCCATCCTCCACCAATTTCCATCATCACACCACACTCATCCATCTCCTCCTACCTGTAGTATCTCTTCCTGACCTCTCCATTTGATTCCCCGGGTTTGTAGCTTTCTCCCAATACCAAATTTGTCCCAAATGGTTGAGATTTGACTGAGTGGTGGGCGTGAGAATCATGAAATTGGCCCATGCACAGGGTTAGGCATCCTGGAAAGTGTCCATGAGAGTCCCCATGTCAATTGAATCTTCATACACATCCTTTGTGATTTTTCTGAATTTTTCTGAGCACTCCAGAGTGCATTTTGGTTGTTTGTTTACTTCTGTACAGCTTGTGATTTCCATTTTGGGCCAAAAACCAGTTTCATGATCTCCCGAAGTATGGATCTCAGCTCCACCACATGGGACTTTCAATACTGCCACCCTCATGTGCCTTTTGACATTGTGTGGAACCTTACAGTAAGATGAGAAATTGTCACCACCATTGCTCCACAACAGCTGGGTCAATCTGGATGAAATTTGGGGAATCCATGTTTATCATTTTTCTCTATTTTTTGAGCCCTTGATCGTCTCTTGGTGGTCAGCAGTGCCAAGCGTAGTTTTTGGGCTGAACCAATTCAGTACCAGCACGTTATGCATAATTGTACTCTGTTATAAAATGGAATAAATTGTTTTTATGCTCCATGGGCATTGGGAGGTGATCTTTGCATGCAAGGAACCCATAAGGAATGTAAACCGCAAAAATACCAGCAGTGTAGAGTATAGTAGGTTATCCTGCCTACAGCGCATGTATGTAGCACAGCCACAATATCACTCTTATGTTGATAAGGTTAAAAGGCTACATAGAGCCTAAGTTTCCCTCAAAGTTAATAAATATATAGTTTAAATGATTATTATGTATTTATTAACATACAACACTGCAAGTGTTGCCGCAATATTTTGTGGCACACACATTGCACGGATGAGATATACATTTGGATCCGATGTTGCGTGGATCCCACGGGGTGGCCATTCTCACGGGGTGGCCATGGGGGGTGGGATTGCACTTTCACACGGTATATTCCCACAAAAAAAAAACTGACCCCTCTGTAAACAACGCCTTGCAAGCTCGGCCAAAAACCCCCACAAAGTCCCCAAAGCCCCCAAAGCCCCCATCTCCCATGCAAGATCTCTTCACAATGGATGGGCATAAAAATCCAGATCCAGGAGGAACAACAGGACCGAATAGGACCAACACCCGCCAGACTAGGGTAATGTATAACACCAGCTCAACCACCCCCAAACAACCCCACCAGGCGCTCCCCAGAGGCAGCAAAAAGTTCACGCTGAGAGGGCAGACTGGACAAAACACCTTGGAAGATCCCAGCCCCTGGAGGAACGCAGCGGCCAACTGGAACCAAACAGCACAACTGGACAATGCTGACCAAGACACCACCCTGCAACTGCCCCCAATCCAAGAAACACTAATTACCACCAGTATCCCAACACTCAGTCCCAATTCACCAGAACTGGTACAGAACCAAGATTTAGAAGATGGAACATATGATGAACCTGACCTACACGACCAGGAAAACCAATCCCAATCACCCTCCGATATGGAGGATGATGAGATGTTATTCTTAGAACCAAGCCCAGAGGATAGATTAGAAGACGAAAACCACCACACCATGGATGAAGCCAATGAATACATGCATGTTGCTGCAGAAAGAATCCTACACATCCAGAAAGCAGGACTCTGGCAACGCTTCCTCCCAGCATACACCCACTGGTACCTAGGACTGCCCAAGGCTACGTCCCCCAACCCAGGCTTCACAAAGCTGGCAGGAGGAGACCTTGAGGAATGCCTTGCGGAGGCCGAAGCTAATGTATCATGCTTAACCAGAACATGCGAGTACCTGACCAACAAACTAGAACTCCTTGTGTCAGACCAGAATGCCAACAGTGTCCCGTCTCCTCCCAGGAGGGACCCAGACGCTGTAGCAGCGCCGATGGGGAAACCAAAGAAAACCTGGGAGAGTGTCGTGGCAAGAAACCCCCCAAAGCCACCCCTGCCCCACAGCAAACCAAAGCAGCCAAATACCGTGGTGGGCCCACAGGGGCTGACTGCCAAACAGCTAGTGGAACCCACAGTGGACTCACGCTGCCTAATCATCCAGGTGAACCCCCCGATTCACCCAGATCAGCGCCCAAATGGCATAGAAACCTGGAAAAGAGCTAACAAGCTGTTGGAGAGGAAGAATCTCCCACACTGCCTCAGGATCATGGCAATTGGATATTCGGTAGCAGGGAACATTAAGCTCATGACCGCACCGACATGTAAGGCCTCCGACTTAATCCAATATGGCCACGAAATAGCGGTGCTCATCACAGAAAATGAGGTCCTTGCTGTACTTCCCGACATGGAACACTACAGGGTCAAAATAAATAAAGTCCCAACACATAGCAGGAGTGGTCCAATGCCCATCAGTATGGTACATGAAGAGCTCTCAACATACGTAGCCATGTACAGAGATCTGAGCACTTGGAGGGCACCCAAGTGGCTTGGATCAGATGAGACCATATGCACTAAGAACTTCGCCTCCATTGTACTTGACCTCACAAACAAAGATGACAGGGACAAACTTTTAGAATTAAAGACGGTCTACCTCTTCAACTACAGATGCATGTTAGACACTGGTCCAGGGTCGGCGCCGAAGGTCACCGATGCAGGCTGCTATTGGCCGTGATGGCCGCGATGGCCACGATGCCTCAAACAAGGCCTGAGGGTAGGGCATTTGGCCTCAGCAACTCTAAAGGGAGTGCTGTGCCCCCTAGCTGTCTCTTGGCCCTCATTTCAGACTCACTGGGGTTGCCTTGTTGGGGTCAGGACTTAGGGGTTGTGGTCACATCGATATTAGAGCTAAGGTACAATAAAGTATCACAGGATATATATAGGGAGAAAGAATGAATGGAAGCGGACCCAGGCCGAAGGCCGAAGGGTCCGGAAGCAAACATGAATAAAGAGCGGGGTTGGCCACATAGCGGCTGGCAATGACCGAGGGTCAAAACAAACAATAACAGATAAATAAAGGAAGGAGCGTAGGGCCGTGATAGCAGCAATGGTATTGTAGCGGTGCTGGACTCGGAGTTGGGCCGGAGTCGGGTGCGGGAATGGTAGCGGCACTGTAGGGGCCAAGTGGGTGGGGTAGAGGAGTTGTGCTGGGCACAGTGCCAGAGGCGGACTTGGGGCAGGAAGGTTGGTGTGGCTGTGGGGGAGTTGGCCAGGTGCAGGGGAGCCTAGGGGCAAGCGGGGGAGTGAGCAGGGAGTCCTCAGGGAGGATAGGGCTGAGGTCGGGGCTCGCACTCATGCTTGCATAGCGGGAATGGGCTCGGGCGGCATCAGGACGGGTGGCTAACAGGCCGGAATGCATGGCCATGACAATGCACCATCACACCATATGAAGACCGTGTACAAGTCTTCACATGCAGCAAATGCGGGATGTTCTCACACCACACCTCAAACTGCACACAACCCCGCTGCCTTATGTAAATGTGGTGCAAAGGACCACTCCACAGATGACCACCCATCAGATGCCTGCCTCCGCTGTATTAACTGCAAAGAAGCACATGTGAGCTTCTTCAAAGAATGCAAAGCAAGGAGAAGCAGAATGGGGCTTAACCCCATCCCCAAACCCCCAGCCCAACATGCAGCCAATGTGCAGCCACCAGCTCCCCAGCCCAAACCCTCAAATAGGAAAAAAGGCAAAGGAAGGGAGAAGGAGAACTCCACATCCCCCCAAACAGACCAACCGCCCCAGGCTATTGGCCTATCTGTCAGAACCTGTCAGGGCATGCCCCAACATGCCCCACCCGATCCCCGCTCTGCTTCCCTGCTCCGCACTGCTTCTCCCTCCTCTCCCTCTCCCTTTCTCCTGTTCTCCTTTCCTCCTTTCTTTCTTTCTCTCTTTCTCTCTCTCTCTTACATGGACCACCTTTCCCACTGCTCAATGTATCACCGGCGTGCATGCCCATTTCCCCTCCTGTATCTTTGTCAGGGCACACACCCTGACTAGCCCGGACCCGGACCCGCGTCCGGACCCGGACCTGGACCCGCATGTGCGCCTCCGCCCTGCACGCTGTAGGCGGGCACAGCCGGTACCACGCAAACGAGCCGATTATCACGATTCAACCACCCATGTCAAGTACCCCACTCCCGAAACACATCTACCATTGTTCCATATACCCCTTCCACGTTTCCTATATTTTTTCCGATTTTTTCAAGCCATTCCTGACCACGGACAACCATCAGTTTCCAAATTGGGCAACTGTCACCCGCATATTCCACCGCTTCCTCTGTATCTCCATCAATTCTCCACCGATCTGGACGAATTTGGTATCGTTGGAAAGCCCTTGTTAACACGAGTCGAACGATGTTACGAGTGACGCATTTGGCTCAGCGGTTGTTCCGATCGCCATGGTTCTTTATTTCCTTAACAACATCAATATTTCTTTGATATTGCTTTTTTCTTATTTGTTCCTTGTGGATCTGTTGCCGTCCTAAACCCGTCGGATCATTCGGATTTCCACGTATTTCTTTCATATTTATAACTGCCTCTTCCCTGTATTTACAAAAAAGGACTCCCCCAACAGAGAGAGGTGCTCCCAAACGAACATGAAGTTCTAGCAGACGTTACCAGCGCCCAGAGTGGCGAATACGAAGCCAAAGAAGCTCAAGACATAGTGCAGGGGCAGAGTTCCCCATCAGTTTGATTATCAGTGAGATTTACGAGTTTATCATTTTTTTTATCACATAGCACCGGACCATTTCTCCTCCCCCCTCCTCCTCATCCGAACCTCCCCTGAGCATTCCCAACTCTGTGGCCCCCTCTCTTTCTCGTTAGGGTGGTAGATCCCTTGCCCCCTTACAACGCTCCGTGCACTGCATGCTCCGGGCCCGGTTCCTACCCTTCATGTGACTTCCGGGTATCCCCGGAAGTTTTCGCCATATTGGGGCCACTGTGGGAAAGTGAGAAGTTAACCTTCTTCTCACTTTCTTACCCACAGTAGGCAAGTGTAGCCTACTTCCTATTTATCTATCCACTTTCTTACCCACAGTAGCTATGCCCTGAGATGGGCTGTGTTTACAGGCCAGACTGTGGACTGTAGAGAGGGGTCATGGGGACCCGGGGTCCGTCCCCTGACAATCTTACCATCCCTATATCGCTGCCACCACCGCCGCACTCGCCCTGCACCCACAGCAGACCCTCTCGGGATCTCCCATGGAGGCACCCAGAGAGCTGTGGCTGTGTGTGAGGGTGATGTGGCGCACCACATGTATATAATAACAGCTGGAGTGGGAACCGAAGAAGTAGCCTTCCCTTTTAATGATAACTCACATTCCCACTTCAGACTAAGTGGTCGGGGATGCTCACCCCGTGACGGGATCACCGCTACGCACAGCCACTATTTGTCCCACCGAGTCCCGCATGCTGGGACCTCGCCGCTTTCAGAGCTGTCCCTGACAGAACCGTGCGAAGCTTCGCCGATGGTAGCCATCAGCGACCGAACGTTGGCCGCTAGTGATACAGGTGTCCTACTCACGACCAAGCTTTTAGTGAGGAATATCCCCACTGATCTCGAGGTCGTGGCTTCTTAGGTGAGTGGGCTGGGATTTCGGCTTCAACGACTCAGGGAGGAGTGTTGCTGTCAGGGATGGCTTGAGGAAGGCAGAGGTAGCAGCCCGGATGGCGGCGGGGCAGTGAGACCGTATAGTGGGCAGCCCTCACTCGGGCTTACGTCCCTGTGTGGCTTCTTAGGCTGAAGCGGGAAATGTATTGTTATTAGGGTGGGAAGCTAGACTAAACTAGGGTACTTGCCTGAAGCGGGAAATGAGAAGAAGGTTACTTCTTCGGTCCTGCTTTGGCTTAGTTTATATACATGTGTGAATGGGTCACATGGAGGTGCCACGTCACCCCCGGACGAAGCCGGGTTACTGCGGGTGGCTCCGCAGTCGATCCCAAGTGTTGGAGGGGAAATATGAGTAGGAGTGCATGGTGCGTCCGGCATTGCAGTGCCCCTACAGGGTGCTCAGCATTGGACGCATCTGTGCTACAAGTGTAGGAAAGAAAGAGAGGTCATCTGTATAAAGATAGAAAAGAGAAGAAGGAAAGAAGAGAGAATGAGAGGATGAGACAAAAAGGAAAGGAGGTGGTGGCAGCGGCAGCATGCCCTGACAGTTGCACCTTGTTCTCGATGCGGTCCCGATACTTTCTAGAAGGCAGAGGTCTTACGGGGAACAGATGTAAGCTTAGGGGAAAGTCCTAGTTGATTTCAAACTACAGTACAAGCATTAGTTACAAGCTGTATATAAGCACTAGGGAACTGAATAGGGAATAAGTCGCCAGATCTCACGGAGAATGTGGGCAGAGAAAAGAAGGAGGAAAACAAACAAGAAGCATGTGTTCAAGACAGCGAAGGTCAAACGTGACCTTTTCTGTGAGATAACAAGGTGCAGCAAAACATGGGACAACAGGTTGTGGTGCACTGCGCTGCTAGGTCGTTCAATGACAATTAGGAGAGGGGTTGTGGAGAGGTGGCAGGAAGGGGTTAGAAGGCAACGGGTGGCGAACGGAGTGTGTGGGGAGTGTTCGGGCATGGGAGAAGGTCAGGGAGGAGGTCGTCTGACCCCGGGGAACACCGGGTCGTGACACTATCCATGGAAGACATAGACACCATCCTAAGCCAAACACAACCTCAGAATCCCAAAGGGAATCTATGGCAAGGTTGCTCCACTCCAAACTACAGGCGAAGCCGTTGAAGCCACCCTACTTGACCAAACCCTCACATCCCAACCAATTGACCAGTCCACTGTCCGAGGAAATGATGGATCTAGAAGAGCTGAGCACACCTAACCCCATTACCCAATGAGGAGAAACCGCAAAATCAAAACCTCCCTTGCAGTATGCAGCATTAATGTGAACCGATCTAATGCAGCTACCCAAACAGCCATGCAGATCGTCTCCAACCACACTGTCAGGGGACATAGCATAAGCGGTTCTCTGTTACCCTATTGATATCGCATAAGACTATATCACCGCATGTAGCCACATTGGCCCTCATATATCATAAATCCCTCACCTTCTCCTGATCCGACTCTGCCCCCTGATCCGAGTGTTCCTTCATCTCTATTCACTTTGTTTTCTATCGGATCATTGTTTAGTTCCTTTGATCCTATCTCTTCCGATTGATTGATGTCACTCGTGTATATAGCTCTATGTGCCGCTGAGGGTTGGAACCTCAGCTTTGTCTACAACTAGGTTTTTGGGCAATATTCAACTCGGACTGACAAGCAATCCCTGACACGCACCAACCTGCCACTTGACATCCTCCTCATCCAAGAACCCTGGTGGGAAAGGATCAACGGCACCTATGCTTCAGTCACCCTAAAGGGGTGGCAAACGGTCCTACCAAAACTACCAATTGCTGAAGGCGAACGTCCCAGGACCATTGCCTACATATGCCAAAAAACGCAGATTGAACTAACCCTCAGGAACGACCTAGCCTCTGACCTGGACTTCATGATCTTGGATGTCAGGCACCAGGGTTCCACACATCCCCCAACCAGGCTGATCAACATCTACAACCAAAAAACACTTAAAAACCCCCAATGCCATGAATTCACAGCGGATAGACTGGAGAACATAAGGCTAGAGGCCAATGTCCCCACAGTCATCACAGGCGATTGGAA